TCTGCACTCTGACAGAGGTGGTGAGTTTTCCTCCGATCTCTTGAGGACCTTCTGTCAGGCGGAGGGCATCGAGCAGACCTTCACGCTTCCGGACTCCCCACAGCAGAATGGGGTTGCTGAGCGCCGCATTGGCCTGGTCATGGAGGTCGCTCGTACCTCCTTGGTCCACGCGGCGGCTCCCCATTTTCTGTGGCCGTTTGCTGTCCGGTACGCCGCGCATCAGCTCAACCTCTGGCCCCGTGTCTCCTTGCCGGAGACCTCGCCCACACTGCGTTGGACGGGGGAGGTTGGCGATGCGTCGCGCTTCCGGGTGTGGGGTGCTCGTGCCCTTGTCCGCGATACGTCTGCGGACAAGCTCTCCTCCCGCACGCTTCCCTGTGTCTTCCTTGGCTTTGTCCCTGACGCGCCTGGCTGGCAGTTTTACCACCCCACCTCGCGCCGGGTCTTCGCCTCTCAGGATGTCACCTTTGACGAGTCGGTCCCTTTTTACCGTCTCTTCCCCTACCGCACTGCCCCCCTCCCTCCCCCGCCGCTTTTCCTTGCTCCTGGTCCCCCTCCGGTAGACCCCCTTCCCCCTCAGGGTCCTGCTCCTTCAGGTGTCTCTCAGGTAGACCCTCCTCCCGTCGCTGAGCCTGTCGAGGTCACAGGTGACTCAGGTGCTGCTGCGGGTGGTGCTGCTGGGAGTGCTGAGCCTGGGGGTGCTGAGCCTGGGGGTGCTGGGCCTGGGGGTGCTGGGGCTGCAGGTGCTGGGACTGCGGGTGCTGGAGCTGAGGGTACTGTGCCTGAGAGTTTGCCGCCTGGGGGTGCTGCGACTGGGGGTGCTGAGCCTGCGGGTACTGAGCCTGCGGGTACTGAGCCTGGGGGTGCTGCTACTGAGCCTACGGAGCCTCGGGTTACTGCGTCTGGGGGTGCTCCGGTTCGGGGTGCTGAGCAGTCTCTCACACCGCAGCAGCTTCGCGACTGGTACGTCCGACGCTTTCGCCGTCCTAGTGGCTCGGCTGGAGTTTGGGGTGCTGGAGCTGCTCGTCCTGGGGGTGCTCGTACTGGGGGTACTGGAGCTGCCGGGACTGGCTGTTCTGGGAGCACTGCGACTGGAGCTGCTGGAGCTGGGGACTCTGGCACTGGCGGTGCTAGCGGAGTTGGAGCTGCCGACTCTGGGGGTGGCGCTGCTGCTGGTGCTGCGGACCCACCTGGTGGAGCTGCTGCTGGTGCTGAGGAGTCGGACGGTGGAGCTGCTGCTGGAGCTGGGGACCCGGCCGGTGGAGCTGCTGCTGGTGCTGTGGACCCGGACGCTGGAGCTCCTACTGGTGCTGAGGACCCGGCCGCTGGAGTCCCTTCTGCTTCTGGAGACGCTGCGCGGCCGCGACCGTACTTCGTACCGCTCCTTCAGCAGGTTCTTGGGCAGGCTCCTCCTCCTTGTCCTCCTCCCTCCGTAGAGTGTCCTCCGCCTGTCCAGCCGCAGTCACAGTTACCGCCTGCCTCGCCTCTCCCTGCTCCCTCTCCTTATACTGGTCCCACAGGAGGTCTTACAGAGCGTCGTGAGCCTGAGTCTCGTCCTGCGTCGCCTGTTCGTCCTGCTCGCACTGGTAGTCGTGTCCGTCGTGAGCGTCCTCCTCCTGTCCCAGGCACTCACTACATGACTCTGCGTCCCTCTACTGCTCCTCGGCGTGTCCCTCTACCGTCTCCTCCTGCGTCCTCTTTGCCTGCCGTTCCGGACCCTGAGTCTGACCGGTATCGCGCTGAGCACCCTACAGTCACGCGTCTCCTCGCTACTGTTGTCACTGACCCCACCTTTGAGTCCTCGGCTGCGTCTGCTCTGGTCGCTGAGTTGGTTGACTTTGCTGCTGCCTGTCGTCTAGACTACGCTGCTAGCCTTGTCGCTGAGTCAGAGTCTGCGTCTGTCTGTCCTCCGTCCGTCGGGGGTGAGTGTGCTCTTGGCACGGACGTCCTTGAGGACAGGCAGGAGGACTTTGACTCTCTTGCGGCTGCTGTACCTCATCTCGTGGCCTGGTTGCTTGCCCCTGAGGGAGACCCGGATGCACTAGACATCCCCACTCCGCGCACTTACGCAGAGGCGATCTCGGGTCCCTACTCCTCTCAGTGGCAGACAGCCATGGACGCAGAGATGGCATCCTGGAAGTCCACAGGCACCTACGTCGACGAGGTTCCCCCTCCTGGGGCGAACATCGTCGATGGCATGTGGATTTTCAGGGTGAAGCGGCCGCCAGGTTCTCCGCCTGTCTTCAAGGCTCGTTACGTTGCTAGAGGCTTCAGTCAGCGTCAGGGGGTCGACTTCTTCCAGACCTTCTCCCCCACCCCGAAGATGACCACTCTTCGGGTTCTGCTGCACGTTGCTGCTCAGCGTGACTACGAGCTTCACTCTCTTGACTTCAGCACAGCGTTCCTGCAGGGCAGCCTGCACGAGGAGATCTGGCTGCGCCGCCCACCTGGCTTTACTGGGTCGTTTCCCCCTGGTACCCAGTGGAGTCTCCGCCGGCCAGTCTACGGTCTCCGCCAGGCGCCACGTGAGTGGCACGACACACTGAGGACTACTCTTGCGGCTCTTGGGTTCGCGCCGTCTACTGCTGACCCGTCGCTGTTTCTGCGCACAGACACGTCGCTGCCGCCGTTCTACATTCTCGTGTACGTCGACGACTTGGTCTTTGCTACTGCTGACACTGAGGCACTCGCTCGTGTGAAGTCGGAGCTGCAGAAGAGACACACCTGCACTGACCTGGGTGAACTGCGTAGCTACCTTGGCTTGCAGATCACCCGGGACAGAGCTCGCCGCACCATCACCCTGACTCAGTCACACATGGTGCAGCAGGTCCTTCAGCGCTTCGGCTTCCAGTTCTCCTCACCACAGGCCACACCTCTGGCTACCAGCCACTCGCTCTCAGCTCCACCTTCGGACGAGTCCGTAGAGCCGAGTGGCCCGTACCCAGAGCTTGTAGGCTGCCTCATGTACCTGATGACTTGCACGCGACCTGACCTCGCGTACCCTCTTAGCATCCTTGCTCGTTACGTTGCGCCTGGGAGACACAGGCGAGAGCACTGGGAGGCTGCTAAGAGGGTGCTGCGTTACCTGTGCAGTACATCAGGCATGGGGCTGGTGCTTGGAGGACGCGACAGAGTTGTCCTCACTGGTCACTCGGACGCCTCTTGGGTGGACGACCTGGCTACGCAGCGGTCGTCACAGGGTTACACCTTCAGCCTTGGCTCAGGTTCTGTCTCGTGGCGGTCCACCCGCTCTTCCTCTGTTCTCGGCTCTAGTTGTGAGGCTGAGATCTACGCCACAGCCATGGCTGCACAGGAGTTACGCTGGCTCACCTACCTGCTGACTGACCTGGGAGAGCGGCCTAGTTCTCCTCCAGTTCTGTACGGTGACAACAAGGCGGCTCTTGCCTTGTGTCAGGAGCACAGACTGGAGCACAGGACGAAGCACATTGCTCTTCGCTACTTTCTTGCTCGAGAGCTTCAGCAGCGCGGTCAGCTTCGGCTTGTGTACGTGGACTCGAAGGCCAACACTGCTGATATCTTCACCAAGGCGCTCCCGCCTAGTGATCATCAGCGGCACTGTACTTCTTTAGGCCTTGTGTCCACGTTTCCTCACTTGCTCACTGCTTGACATTCTTTGTACTGTACTTTATATATATCTTGTTGCTTGCTTGCTAGGTTTTGATCACTGTGTTGCTTGTCTTGTACTATATCTAGCACTGCATGTGAACTGGCCTTGTGGCCTTTACTTGTGCTCGGAGTGTGGTGACGTTGTGATCCACCCTGGGCTTTGTTTTGCTTTGCTGGACTGGTCTTGTGACCCTTTGTTTTCCCCCACTTTGCCTATGGGGGTGTGTTAAACTGTATTATGCTTGTAGGCTGTAGTGGGGTAGCCAATATGGGGTACAACCCCAACTAGGGTTTCATATTTGTACCCAAACTTCTGTTAGTTCATTCATTCTTGCCTAGTGATTCTGACAGCTACAGTGCTTCTGGCGCACTGTTACTGCCCAGTTTTAGCTCAGAGCGCAGAAACAGGTGCTTTCAACGCAGTTTTGATTTTATTGGTCCACACATGGTGTCAGAGGTCCACTGGGGATCCCCGATGATCCTAGGGAAGGGTTACAGGCATGTTGGCCTGGGGGGTTATGGGCGCACTCACCCGCTACTTAAACAAGCCCTTTTATCCCAGTGGTTAGTGACTGGGATTCTGACATGGTATCAAAGCGAAGGTCTCGGGTTCGATTCCCGGTGTGTGCACTTCGGGCATCCCAGTGCGGGGGGGTGTCAGAGGTCCACTGGGGATCCCCGATGATCCTAGGGAAGGGTTACAGGCATGTTGGCCTGGGGGGTTATGGGCGCACTCACCCGCTATATAAACAAGCCCTTTTATCCCAGTGGTTAGTGACTGGGATTCTGACACATGGCACAAAAATACAAACCAATCCTATGGATACTGACACAGCAAACAGTAACTATTTCTACGTTCTTAGTGTTAAGACCTTTATATTTACCCTTTTAAGAAGGGTATCAACCCTATACACCTTCTGACTGGTGTTTAGGGTTGATGCTCTAGTGAGACAAGCCATCGAAAAGAATGTACTCGCTGGTAAGGCATCAACCCTAAGTACCTTGTCGCCGGGTGTTTAGGGTTGATGCTCCCTCGAAAACATGCCACCCGATAGGGTTTTATTTTTTTATGCTCGAAATGCTAGCGTTTGACGGTTCGGTGGCCGTCATCCAAATCAGAGTTATCGGCCCGTCAATTCAACTGCCAATGAAATCAAAACTGTGTTGAAAGCACCTATTTCTGCGCTCTGAGCGAAAATTGGGCAGTAATAGTGCGTCAGAAGCGCTGTAGCTGCGTCGGAAGCAAAGAAGTTCAGTAACAATGCGTGATCAACTCAGAACCCTTGTGTATGGGCATACAATCATTTTGTGTTTGTGAAACAAGCACAAACTGTGTCTTAATACTGGAAAAAACGTGGGGAAAAAAAGCACCAATGAAAGCACGAGTGGATTGGGACGATCCGTTGGTGTAAGTTGGATATTTCTGTTCAAGTGTCTGTTGCAGTCAGACATAGAGATACAGTTACGATTTGTAAAATACGCACGTGAAGTTACTTGCATCGAAAATATTGTTTATTTGTTGGGAAAATATGTCAATGGTAACTTACATGGGGCACTCTAACACGTACGATAATGATTTCATCGCATTTGGTAACCCGCCTAACGCATTTGGTAACTCGCTTAACGCGTTTGGTAACTAGCTTAACACGTTTGGTAACTATACACTAGCAGCCCAACGCGCGAATGGTAACTTCGATGAAATCAACTCTGACATGACCGTAAATTTACAGTTTCCCGCTCGCGCCAAACCAATCGACGAGCTGTGATGCACCCACGTCCTCCTGAACCACGTACGCCACTCAACCGAACCAGAACCAAGCGTATGGTACACCGCGTGCACACTAAGATCAACCCAGCCTGCAAACTCTCAAGCTCCCCGTGGCCCCACCAGATTGCTCCCCGTCATCCTGCTCTAGCCCTATCACACTCGACACTAACTTAGTAAGGACTTCTTAGCAGACTTATTAGCCCGCCATAGAATCCACGGATGCGCATGTGACAGCTGCTCCTTATCAGAGGTGCGTCTCTATCCGTTTCTCTTCCCTAAAAGCTCAACGGGATGCCCACTCCGCCTCGCGTCCAGCGGTAGACGCGCCACACTCGCCGCTCTCGCGTTCAGCGGCTTGCCGGACCTCTGCCCGCCTCTATGCGCCAGCGGATTGCTCACCGCTGGGCGCATAGCGCGCCTCTCTCGCGGCCAGCAATGCGCTCAGCGGATTGCTCACCGCTGGGCGCATTGCTGGTTCCCCCGCGGCCAGCAATGCGCTCAGCGGATTGCTCACCGCTGGGCGCATTGCTGGTTCCCCCGCGGCCAGCAATGCGCTCAGCGGATTGCTCACCGCTGGGCGCATTGCGCCTCTCCCTCCAGCGCTATTCACCCTGCGGAATCCTGACTCTTGGGCGCATAGCTGCTCTCTCGCAGCCAGCGCTATGCGCTCAGCGGTGAGCTCACCCTTTCCTTGCTATTACTCAACCCCGCCACTCTCTCTCTCTCTCCTCTCTCTCCCCCCTCTCCCTCCCCACCTGTACTAGGGCAGGTTCTTGCAGGCTTCTTCGCCCCACAGCCATTCCGCTTTGAGCCATACGACCTTCTCACCAACATCGTCAAGGTTCGCTCACTCCCTCACTTCACTGTACTTGAACTGCCCGGCCCTAGTTGACTTCCAGAAACACGTGACTGCTCCCCCGTGGGGGCTCGCCGCTCACCAACCTCATCCAGGTTTAGGGACTCACTCACTGCACTTCAGCTTCCCTGCCTTATGCGCCCAGCGCAGAATGAGAGACCGCAGGCCGAGTATTTTCCCCTCTCATCCCCGATCATGCAATCCCTTGCCTTATGTCAGGTCAGGCTATGCACGTGCATGTTTCAGAATAGAACGGGCATATTTTTTATCATGCACATGTAAATATAAAAAGGGTTTGGCACGGGATGAGCTCGGGGATTGCAATTCACTAGGATGGCTGGCACAAACCAAATCCCCCAAACCCAAACCCCAAGGCTCCGTGGGGATGAACAGGCCTGGCCAAACCGGGCCAGGCCTAACATGCCAGGCCTGTCCGAACCTGGCCAGCACCCGGCCAGACCGGTGAGCGAGGGGGAAAGAGTGGGGGATGATGGAGGAAGCACGCTTGTATTCAGCCCCTCACATCCCCTCTCGTTATTTCTCCCGCGCTACTCTTCCCTCTCATCCCCTTTTATGTCCTCCCATTGCTTCAGCCTTTAAATCTGCTTCCTAATATCTTCTTGTTATTCCTCTCTTTCTATCTTCTGCCACATCGAGATTTACCACCCCCCCTTATCCAGCCATCTGAAAAAGTTATTTCTCACACATCACCTGTAGCATATCCGTCCCTCTAGTCCCCTCTCATTCTCTCACCAACTAGTACCCCACATTCCTGACCATCCCCAAACATACCCTTTAACACCCTCTCTTGCTCCCGTGATTGAATCTGCCCTCAAATTTCACTCGTCCAATCAAACTCTCGATATCCCATCTCAGGTTGTGCCCATCCCTATCTGACCCGTCCTCATCCCCCCACATACTCATTTACATCCCCTCTTATGTTGTTTCCTGCAATGACCAACATCTTATCATATCATCCCCTTCCATAATCCCCCTCATCCACTCTTATGGCATCTCCAGCAATACCATTCCCTGTCTTCCTCCATTAGGGCATCACATTCTCCCACACATTCCGACGCACATTCCCACGTATGCCCTCATCTGCTATACCCTCCCGCGCTATACCCTCCCCCATCCTGACAGGGTACCCCAGATCATTCTCTTTCATACGCGATCATTACCCCACATGCTATGCCATCGCCAATCCCTCCCTCCACTCCTCGTTCCTGCTCTCTTATGCCATCCCCTGCTACACCGTCACCTATCACACTCGCTCACTCTGTTGCATTCTGTTTCGCATCCCTTCTTCTGTCATCTCATGCCATCCAATCACCCAGCGGTGGGTTGATGCCCTCTCATTTACTATCACGCCGTATCTTTCCCTCGCATGCAGTTTTGGGGGCCCTCGAACTTTGCGGATACAGATTCACGTCCCTTCCCTTCAGCCCATCTCAAATCCCTAACCCTACCCCCTCTTCCCCTCCTTTTCTCTCCTATCTCTCGTGTTTCCCTCTTTATCCATCCCACATGCACAACGTCAGGGCCTATCCCCCCTCAATCTCTGTGCTTATGCATTAGTATTCCGTTTGATGCTTAGCCATTCTCTACCTTGCATTCTTTTCCCATTCCGCACAATCCTTCTTAACGTCTCCTATTGCAGGTCTCCATCCCATGCCATGCCATGGCATGGCTTGCATTGCTATACGACGTGGTGCTATGATCCTCCATCATATAGTATAGTGGTTACCACTGTGACATGCCATGCCATGCTATGCCATGCCACACCACACCACACCACACCACTCTGAATCGCCTCATAAAGAACACATGATCGCCTGATTCCCACTTCACATTTCGTCCCAGCGACCTACCCTTTGCGAACCTGCCCTCCAGGCTCGACGACCGAGTGAGGCTCGGGTGGAAGCTGACAGCGATAGAGAAGCGGCCAGGTGGCAGCGGCGTCCTACGACACTCCCGAGGGCTCCAAGCAGCTCTCTGCACGCTCCCTGCTGCTCACCCGTGCCCTCATACGTTGCTGCTGACCTCCTCAAGCCCTACTTGGTGAGCATTCCCCTTGCTCTCCTGCAAACGTGCCTTGGGTTTTGAGACGTCTCAGACTTTCCCTAGGTGGACGTTGGGATGGGCGAGAGGGATGGACGAGAGGGATGGTTGAGAGAGAGATGGAGCCTAGGCGATACCGAAAGACCGCATCTAGTATACTACTCCGTTCCACGATATATCTCACTTTTTCCCTGCCTGGGCTCCATGCTCCTAGCTGTGACCAATGCCCATTCTTTTTAAGTCCAGCCACCCTCTGATACCTGCTCCACCCTCTCCCACCAGGCCGCCTGGTGCGCTATATCCGGGATGAGACACCTTGTGTTCGGGGCTCTTGCTACCTGCGAGTTTATGTGCTGTATGCTCTGTTTTTTTCCGTGAAATAGTATATCCAGCGTAGCATGTTACGCACGAATCCAGCCTATCTGATTTACAGGGTGGAATGTGAGTTTAGTCATATTCACCAATGGACAAGTAAAATCGCGCACACAAGTTTAAGAACCTAGCAAGTGTTTACTTGTCTAATTGTGCTGATGGTTATATAGATATGTAAACCTATAAGAGGTGGGTCTGTGGGACACACTTCTGAAGTACCTATACCTAACCCACGTTGTGGTCACAATCCTTCTACTATTTATTGAAAAACATAAAGCATACCTAGTACTGCTGATTATTGCCATCACCGTTATCAGCTCCACCCTGTTCTGTTGACCAAGTACGAACTCCAGTCACCAACCCGTCCACCCGACTCTGCTGCGGCAGACCTACATGGCTCCAACGGTGAGCGAACCCTCCTGTGTTCTCCTGCATTGGCATCCCATACAATCCCCACCGCTGATTGATACCACTGTTACTAAATTGCCTTTGTAACAACCTTCCCATTCCCTGCTGCCCGCCCATTCCCTGCTGCCCGCCCATTCCCTGCTGCCCGCCCATTCCCTGCTGCCCGCACCTTCCCTGCTGCCCACCCCTTCCCTGAGGCCCTCCTATTTCCTGTGGCCCTCCCAATGTCTGCGGCTCTCCCATTCTCTGCCGCCCAACCATTCCCTGCTGTCCGCCCTGTCCCTGCTGCCCTCCCATCCCCTGCTGCCCGCCCCTTCCCTGTGGCCCGCCCCTTCCCTGTGGCCCGCCCCTTCCCTGTGGCCCGCCCCTTCCCTGTGCCCCTCCCATTCCTTGTGGCCCTCCCATTCCTTGTGCCCCTCCCATTCCTTGTGGCCCTCCCAATGTTTGCGGCTCTCTCATCCTCTGCCGCCCTCCCATTCCCTGCTGCTCGCCCATTCCCTGCTGCTCGCCCATTCCCTGCTGCCAACCCATTCCCAGTGGCCCTACTATTCCCTGCTGCCAACCCATTCCCAGTGGTCCCCCCAGTCCCTGCTGCACGCCCAATCCATGCTGGAGGCACATTCCCTGCTGCCCACGCATTCCTTGTGGCCCAGCCAATGTCTGCGGCCCGCCCATTCCCAGCTGCCCGCCCATACCCTGCTGCCCTACCATTCCCAACCCTAGCATCCCTCCCAACCCCTGCTGCCCTCCTGTGTCCTGCTGCCCTTCCGTTTCCTGCTGCCCTCCTGTTCCCTGCTGGGGAGGCATTCCATGCTGCCCACGCGTTCCATGCTGCCCTTGCATTCCATCCAGCCCTTCCAACCCTCGAAGCCCTCCCGTTTCCTGCTGCCCTCCCCTTCCATTCCTCCCACCTCTCCCTTGCTGCCCTCCCCTTCCTTGCCTCCCTCCTCTCCCTTGCTGCCCTCCCCTTCCATTCCTCCCACCTCTCCCTTGCTGCCCTCCCCTTCCGTGCCTCCCTCCTCTCCCTTGCTGCCCCCCCCTTCTTTGCCGCCCTTCCCTCTCAGGTCCTTCCCAACAATCTGCGCCTCCACCCTCTTCTGTGGAAGTCACCACCCCGGACCTGCCTCTACCTCTCCCTCCACCCCTTCCCTGTTGACTTCTACCTCGACCACGCCCTTCCTCCGAACGCCCCACATGCACATCGTCGTCGCCTATGTGCCCCTCCACTTCCCTCTGTATGTTGAGACATTGCAACCTCCGTAATCGCCCCCGAACCACGTCGTCCGCACTCCTCAGGCCACCTCCCCTCGAAGTTCCCTCACCTGCACTACTTCCTTGCGCACCGCCCAAGTGCAACCCTTCGGAACCGGCCCCCATATCATCCGTCGCAGTTTCGGGAGGGAGATCCCCGGCAGGTACAGGCACTCTCCCAAATATTTCCGTCAAGACCGAATCTGCCGCTGTGCTCCCAATCTCCTCTCCATCCCCCTCATCTTCTCCGCTGCCCGACTCCTCGTCCGGTTCGCTCTCATCGCCACTCTCACCAGTGGTATGGATACAACGAATACCTCTCCGATGACTTCGATTACATGTGCTACACGGGGCTACATGTACCGCGCCATCCGCTGTGGTCATCGTCTGCACAGCCAGTTGCCCTGCTGGGGTTTGTATTGCCTCCCACAACACTCGGTTCGCAGCCCGGACCTCACATGTCCTAGAGTTATGCCCCATCTCACCACATTTGCCACACTTGCGCAGTTTGATAGGGTCGACCTCTCCTGTCGAGCGAATCCTGTTCTTTTTTGGCCGGCCCGCCCTTTTGGAGTAGATTGGCGGTAGAGTAATGCCATCCGGGATCACTGACGTGGGGTCGAGGGTCCGAATCGGGGTCTTGTACACCTGCTGCAGCGCCGAAACCGTGTGGCAGTTGTGTATCACAGCGTGGGCCTTGTGCCCTGCATTCTTGAACACAGCAAAAATGTGGACGCACGGCAGCCCATACTCCCTGTTGTTGGGGTATTGGTGTAGTGGAAATAGGGTGGTTGGTTATTGTAATGATTGGTCAAAGAAAAACACATACACATAGTCATGCGCACAAGCTGTAGACGTAAACAAACAGTTTCATATGTGGTATACAGTGCCTCCCAACCAACAGCCCGTGCTGCTTGGCACAATATCCCCCCCTCTATCGATTGGACCCCCTCTCCTACTGACTCCCTTTCCATTGTTGCCCTCCTATGCCCTTCCTTGCTGCCCCCATCTCCCTTGGTGCCCTGCAAGCTCCCCCTCCCCCCGCCCCCATGCTGTCTTCACATTCCCTGGTGTTCCCCAAACCTTGCTGCCCCCATTCCCTTGCTGCCTGCCTTACGTATTGCACCCCTTGCCCTTGCTGGGCTCTCATGTCTTACCTGGTGTAACCACACGTGCAGCTGGTTGCTGAAGGATTGTTGGGGTTAGTAGTCACGACTCTCGTTTCCAGCTTCAGCTCCCCTCTCCTCGGCTCACAACGGACCGGTTCTCGCCGGACCCTTCAGCATCGTATCTCTTCGCTTCGTCGCAGTTGGCCTTGATAATTGGTCGTATCCTTGGCGGGAAGACCGCATCAGTGAGTTGTGAGTACTCGAGGCGCCTCTTTTCAATACTCTTTGAGAGCTTGGTCGTCAAGAGGTGCATCACTTGTGGGGGACTTTTGTCACGCAGCCCTGAGAGTGATGCGTGGTGTGACTCCACGGGGTTGGAGGTCATGCAGCCAAAACGCGGAGCACCAAAGTGCGCCGAGGCCCACTTCTTATGCAAATCGTTGTCTTCAAGATATGCCTTCCCACCAGGGCACTCTTGCTCGATTTTCTCCATCGTTTTGTGGTAAACCAATGGAGTAAGAGCCGCTGCAGCTGCGAGGATCCTCCCATCCAAGTCTGTCCGAAACTTGTTTTTGAAATTGCGCACCAAATGAGTGATGCAATACGACTCCCGTATTAGGGGGAGGCAAGCTGCTGTCGCCGACTTCCATGCACCTCCCCTATCATGCATAATCACAAAATCGGGGGAGTTCCCCTCCGGTACTGCCTCCAGCAAGAGTTGAAAGAGGAAGGTACACGACTGCTTGTTCTCTCCCTCGACCCACGCACACCCCAACCTAACAAGCTGGTGTTGACTGTCCAGCATGCAAATGTTCAAAGTGTAACCCCCCCATCTCGTCTTATCATGACAACCATCTGCAAAAAGGATAGGCAAACAGTTCATCACAGACTCCTTGGCACCTGGATAGATGACACCGGCCCGATAGAAGTTGTTACCCCGCCTCACCAATGACACTTTACACGACGGGTTTTCGACCTCAAACTTTCTCAGCAGGTCCTCCATGTACTCGAATCCTTTATCTCCCCCAATAAGCTCATCATCACTCAACTCCCAAAGCACCTCCCGTGCAAGAGTATACGAACACTGCACACCCAGCACCTGATGAACACGACTCATCAACGCTCGCGGTCTAACCTCGCCGTGCATTCTCATCTCACGTGCAACCTCTTTCACCTCTTCCCATTGGACCCTAGGTGCACCGACTGTACACCTATCCGCATGCTCCAAATGAACTGTCGTGACCCTTAGGTTATCACAAACAGGCCCTCGCACGATGATACGAAAAGGGCATAGCCCTGCGTCACTACTCACCTCACGCTTGGGCCAACCCTTCCCCTGCATACTTTTGCACCGAACCTCAATGAGATTGCTACGATTGTAATGAAAGTAAGAAGATGCCATCTGTTGCCGACAGTACAGCCGCACATCTGCCCTCGCCGCGTCTGCAGTAGAATAGACTTTCCCTAGGTGGATGTTGACTGCATCAGTCTCCTGCATCTCAAAGGTACTGGGGTGACAAAAGAATGAGAGGAGAGACATACACAAAACACCTCGAGCGCATAAGTTGTAGTTTTGGTGTTGCTAGCATACGCTGGAACGCAACAAAATAACACGTGATGTGATAAGCATTGCGTGGGGATACGGGTTCGTACCTGGAACGCAGAAGGCGAAACATGATGCCTGATGCTGGACCCTGGCCCTGCAAGAGGGGGAGATAGGGAATTATTGCAGCAGAGAGAGGAGGGGGGGGTGGGGTAATCGGAGTAGGATGGGATACTAGCGTGAAAGAGTGTGGGGATGGTATTGCAAGTACACAGCGAGACAATCATGACTAGTGCGCCGAATATAGACACGGCAGGGTAGATAGAACGGAAGGGATTGAGAGATAGCGGGAGGGGATGAGAGAGCAAACTCGCTCAGCTGTCTCGGGTTATGCGTAGGGTTACGCAACAAAGAGAGGGAGGACAGGGCAATTCGAGTAGGTTGCGAACAAGTGTGTCAGTGCAGCAGAGAGAGGGAGAGTGGACAGAAATGCAGGTAGCTACCAAGACAATTGTGTCGGTTACGCAGCAGAGAATGGGAGGGAACCAAAATCAGAGTAGAGTGCGAGACAAGCGTGAGGGAGTGAAAAGGGAGAGAGTGAGTCGGGAGGTTTTTGGAAAAAGGCAACGAGGCAGTCGTAAGGGTTACGCCACCGAGAGAGAGCGAGGGTACCCGGAAACTAGTTGCAGTAGAGCGACTCCACCAGGTTCCTGTTGAAGTTGGGGTTGCTCCGCCGCACGTGGCTCAGAATGCACATGAACAGCACCGCCAGGCACTGCGCGCTGTGATTCGGAGGGTGGTGGAGGGGTAGGGGAAAGAGATGGAACAGGGGTTTGAAAGCGAGGACAGGAACGAGGATGAGAGGTAGGACAGGGGGTATAATAATGAAGGGCATACGAGGGGATGAAAGTGTAAGTGTCAGGGGATGAGGGTGAAGAACAGGGGAGAAGACAGCGTGTGATGGGGAGCGAGCGTTCCGCAAGCGCATAGCGCTTGGCCGCGAGAGAGGTGCGAGAGTACGAGGAAAGGGCGGACCAGGAGTGGAGGGTATGGGCTGCAAAGAGAGAATCAAATGCGGGGGCGGGTTCAGGGAGTGAAAGGGGTTCAGGAGATGGAAGGGGACGGGGAGCAGCGGAGGGGGTTGAGTGCGGTTGAGATGGAGGATGGGGAGGAAGGCGAGGAGAGGAAGGGGAGCGAGGAGAGCGAGTGGGTGGGGTTGATGGGGGGCCTTAGTGGCCGATTAGGTTCGGGTTTGACGTGCCGATTGGGGTCTGGTTTGGCGGTGGATGTTGGTAGGCCTAATGATGAAGCAAAGGAGGATAAGGAGGAGGGAGATGGTGAGCATAGCGAGCATAGTGACGATCATTGTGAGCAACGGGAGAGTGAGGAGTGGTCAGGTTCGGACAGAGGCCCGCTTGAAGGTTTGGGGGGTCGCAGGCTTGGCAGTGACCGTGGTTCGGCGGGAGTATTGGCTCCAGAGCTTACACCCCAGGGGAGCTGGAGGGGTGATGACGTCACCCCCCTGGGCAGTTTCAGGGGTGATGATGCGTTAACTCCCCTGGACAGCTGGGGGGGCGAAGGGGAACTTACCCCTGTTTGGAGGGGTAAAGGGGAGATTACCCCGCAAGGAAGCGGGGACTGGGGAGAGGGAGAGGGAGAGGGAGAGGGAGAGGGAGAGGGAGAGGGAGGAAGAGGGGGAGGGGGTTTTGACACCTACGCTAACCCGTACTAGGGCAGTTGGAGGGGGGACATGTCAGGGAGCGAGAGAGGGGAAGGGTAGGACGGGCTGGGGGGGGATAGGGAGGGTAGGTACGAGGATGAGAGGGGGAGTGAGGAGGGAAGTGAGAGGAGGAGTGAGGAGGGAAGTGAGTGGGGGAGTGAGGGGTCTAGGGGTGAAGAAGAGGAGAGGGAGAGGCAGTGGGAGACTCTGAGGGACGGGGAAGAAGAGGGGAGTGTGAGAGATGAGGATGAGGAGATGGAGAGAGGGGAGAGTGAGGGGGATCGTGAGGGAGAGAGTGAGGAGGAGGAGAGGGAGAGACAATGGGCCAAGATGCATGCTGGTAGTGAGGATGGAAAATGACGGGAGGATGGAAAATGACGGGAGGATGGAAAATGACGGGAGGATGGAAAATGACGGGAGGATGGAAAATGACGGGAGGATGGAAAATGACGGGAGGATGGAAAATGACGGGAGGATGGAAAATGACGGGAGGATGGAAAATGACGGGAGGATGGAAAATGACGGGAGGATGGAAAATGACGGGAGGATGGAAAATGACGGGAGGATGGAAAATGACGGGAGGATGGAAAATGACGGGAGGATGGAAAATGACGGGAGGATGGAAAATGACGGGAGGATGGAAAATGACGGGAGGATGGAAAATGACGGGAGGATGGAAAATGACGGGAGGATGGAAAATGACGGGAGGATGGAAAATGACGGGAGGATGGAAAATGACGGGAGGATGGAAAATGACGGGAGGATGGAAAATGACGGGAGGATGGAAAATGACGGGAGGATGGAAAATGACGGGAGGATGGAAAATGACGGGAGGATGGAAAATGACGGAAGGATGGAAAATGACGGGAGGATGGAAAATGACGGGAGGATGGAAAATGACGGGAGGATGGAAAATGACGGGAGGATGGAAAATGACGGGAGGATGGAAAATGACGGGAGGATGGAAAATGACGGGAGGATGGAAAATGACGGGAGGATGGAAAATGACGGGAGGATGGAAAATGACGGGAGGATGGAAAATGACGGGAGGATGGAAAATGACGGGAGGATGGAAAATGACGGGAGGATGGAAAATGACGGGAGGATGGAGAGCGAAGATGAAGAAGTGGAGGAATTGAGAGGTGACGGGGGCGAGGGAGTGAACGGATAAGGGTTTTGGAAGACAAAGAGGAGGAGAAGGAGGAGGAGGAGGAGCAGGATGAGCAGTAGCAGGAGAAGGGATATTATACGGAGGAACGTTTGAGTGAGGGCGAGTTGAATAAGAGGGCACGTTTGCGGAGGGCAGGCTGGAGGAAGGCATGTTGGAGGAAGATAATAAGCGGAGTGGAGAATGGCTGTTTGAGAATGGGGCGAGGGGTGAAGAGGAGAGTGAGGGGGAGAGTGAGGGGGAGAGTGGGGGGGAGGGTGAGGAGGAGGAGGATAGGAGGCAGGAGAGTGAGGGTGATGAGATGGATGTTGGTGAAGGGGTGGAGAGGCAAAGCTCTGGAGGCATGGAGAGGGGGGAGGAGGAGGAGGAGGTGGACGAGAGAGGGGAGAGGGATTATGGGGAGGGGAGAGGTTATACAGTGGTGGATGAAGAGAGGGCGGATCTTAAGAGTGAGGCGAGTGATGGAGGGATGGATGAGAGAGTGAACGATAGGGATGGGTATGAGGATGGGGGAAAACGGAGTGTGGGTAAGATACAGGCGGAAGAGGAGGTTGGGGTTCAGAAAGAGGGAGAAGAGGGCAGGGGGGCAGGGAGAAGAGGGCAGGGAGAAGAGGGCAGGGAGAAGAGGGCAGGGAGAAGAGGGCAGGGAGAAGAGGGCAGGGAGAAGAGGGCAGGGAGAAGAGGGCAGGGAGAAGAGGGCAGGGGTGCAGACAGTGATGAGGACAAGGACGAGGAGTGTGCGACTGGACAGGCTGATGTGGAGGAGGTCGTATCTGTGCAACGGGAGGACGGTGAGCACACCGCTGGGCGCATTGCTGGCCGCGTGAGAGACGCCTAAGGCAGGGAAGCTGAAGTGCAGTGAGTGAGTCCCTAAACCTGGATGAGGTTGGTGAGCGGTGAGCCCCCACGGGGGAGCAGTCACGTGTTTCTGGAAGTCAACTAGGGCAGGGCAGTTCAAGTACAGTGAAGTGAGGGAGTGAGCGAACCTTGACGATGTTGGTGAGAAGGTCGTATGGCTCAAAGCGGAATGGCTGTGGGGCGAAGAAGCCTGCAAGAACCTGCCCTAGTACAGGTGGGGAGGGAGAGGGGGGAGAGAAGGGGAGAAGGGGAGGGGGAGGACTGCTACCCATCACGCCCTGTGGGATGAGATAGCATGCATAGGGGCGGAAGCGGGTTTTACGGTTCACAAGGAGACGTATGTCTACTCTCAGGTTGAAAACCTAAAGGCGGATGTAACCATCCGCCATCCCCTGACCGGAGAGGTTTGGATGTGCGACGTGACCGTAACGGACCCGGTGTCTTACCAGGACGAGAACTGCAACCGGGCTCCTGGTTGGGCGGCTAGGGCAGCAGCAGCGAGGAAGGAGGAGAAGTACGCCCGCAGGAATGCGTGGGTGGGGTTCCACGCGCTCGCGGTGGAGACTTACGGCTACCCCTTGCCTGGGGTGATGGCTTACCTTCGGCAGTGCGCGGAGCTGGCGGCGAAGCTGCGGTATAACGCAGCACCAACCTCGTACGAAGCAGCGAAGCTGCTGACGGAGTACCGCCAGCGCTGGAGCGTGTGCCTCCAGCGGGCGCAGGCCAACGCTCTGCGCACCAAGACCAACGAGGCCTTGGCGGCAGACGAGCTTGGCTTCAGGGGTCCCATCATCCCTCTTAGCGAGGGACAGCTGCACCAGCTGATTGAGGCCCCGTCCGACCAGTAGGGTCGGACAGAAGGGGGGCCGGCGTAGGTAGGGGTCAGGAGGCTGTTAGGTTTCTGGTTTGCTTGTTTGTTTAGCTTGTGTGATTGCTTCTTCCGTTGTACCACACCTTAAGTAATGCATGGACCATTCGAGGGGGGAGAGAGAGGAGAGAGAGAGAGAGTGGCGGGGTTGAGTAATAGCAAGGAAAGGGTGAGCTCACCGCTGAGCGCATAGCGCTGGCTGCGAGAGAGCAGCTATGCGCCCAAGAGTCAGGATTCCGCAGGGTGAATAGCGCTGGAGGGAGAGGCGCAATGCGCCCAGCGGTGAGCAATCCGCTGAGCGCATTGCTGGCCGCGGGGGAACCAGCAATGCGCCCAGCGGTGAGCAACCCGCTGAGCGCATTGCTGGCCGCGGGGGAACCAGCAATGCGCCCAGCGGTGAGCAATCCGCTGAGCGCATTGCTGGCCGCGGGGGAACCAGCAATGCGCCCAGCGGTGAGCAATCCGCTGAGCGCATTGCTGGCCGCGGGGGAACCTGGCAGCAATGCGCCCAGCGGTGAGCAATCCGCTGAGCGCATTGCTGGCCGCGAGAGAGGCGCGCTATGCGCCCAGCGGTGAGCAATCCGCTGGCGCATAGAGGCGGGCAGAGGTCCGGCAAGCCGCTGAACGCGAGAGCGGCGAGTGTGGCGCGTCTACCGCTGGACGCGAGGCGGAGTGGGCATCCCGTTGAGCTTTTAGGGAAGAGAAACGGATAGAGACGCACCTCTGATAAGGAGCAGCTGTCACATGCGCATCCGTGGATTCTATGGCGGGCTAATAAGTCTGCTAAGAAGTCCTTACTAAGTTAGTGTCGAGTGTGATAGGGCTAGAGCAGGATGACGGGGAGCAATCTGGTGGGGCCACGGGGAGCTTGAGAGTTTGCAGGCTGGGTTGATCTTAGTGTGCACGCGGTGTACCATACGCTTGGTTCTGGTTCGGTTGAGTGGCGTACGTGGTTCAGGAGGACGTGGGTGCATCACAGCTCCTCGATTGGTTTGGCGCGAGCGGGAAACTGTAAAATTACGGTCATGTCAGAGTTGATTTCATCGAAGTTACCATTCGCGTGATGGGCTGCTAGTGTATAGTTACCAAACGTGTTAAGTGCAAGGAAAAACCCTTTTCCTTACTGGGGTTTACTCAACCGCGTACAACCCCAACTTTCGGAAGTGCACGTTCGGCCGCTTTGCTTGCTGCCGAAGCAACCTCGCGTCGCCTTCGGCTTTCCTTTGCCCAACCTGCACTCAACCTCGTGTTCCCGAGGTTCCCGCCTAGTTAGGTTGCCTCGCTATATAATCGCATGTCTTTCATTGTATCGTCAGTTTCATTGAGTCACAGCCTCGTTATTCGTTATTCCGCGCAACTCTGTTTGACAACTCATAACACCTGGTATCAGAGCTACTTTCCTAGTTCACCCCGCTTTTCCAGGGTAGTTTAGAGGCACGGGTGTGATTGGTACGGTGGGCTGCAAAGCGGTTGGTTGCAAAGTTTATTAAATTAAACTTGCCCGACCCCGATAGCTTTTGCGCTTGCACTGTTGCCGGATAGTCACGGATACCCACTTGCCTACTAGACGTAGCTTGCGACTCATGGATCAGGCGGCATTTGACGCGTTGATGCAGCAAGTGGCGGAGATGTCGGCAGGCATGAAGGCGTTAACGACAGAGGTGGAGAGACTACGTGAAGAAAACAACGAGCTACGCCAGGCGCGAGGTGAAGCGCGCCAGGAGTCGCCCGCTGAAGAAGGCGAGAGCACTGGTCAAGCGGTGAGCGGCAATCCGTTGGAGGAGCTCACACGCGGCTTCGAAGAAGAAGATAGGCAGCGAGCGGCGGCAGCGACAACAGTTGCAGTGACAACAATCAAGATAAAGCCTACGAGCCCGCCCCCGTTCAACCCTACCGACAAGAACACTACTGTTTAAGGGTGGTTGTTCGGCGTGGAGGTGTTCTTCACTGCAGCGAACGTCAACGACGACGCCACGCGTATTAATTACGCGGTATCGCTTCTGCGAGGCCCGGCGCTTGAGTGGTGGCGACGAACCTTGGACACGGGGACCCCGACAGGTGTGACACATGCGGCAGACGGGACTTCGGACTCTGCTATTGGGAGGGCATCATCGATATTCGGTGTGGCCACAATTCGCACGTGGAAGCAGTGGGGCGCAGCCTTACGAGAGCGTTTCGAGCATGTATCCGCCTCGGAACACGCTCGCATGAAGCTGCGTACCTGGTCACAGTTGGCTTCTGTTCAAGACTACACAGCGTCGTTTATGGCGCTCGCGGATCAAGTGGACGACATGGCGGAAGCTGAACGGTTGGATAAATACATCAGCGGCTTGAAGTATGAGATACAGTACGAGGTGCGCCGCAGCCGTCCAGCAACATTCAACGAAGCCGTCCGATTGGCCGAGAGCACAGACGCGCTGATGCAGTGGGCGAGATCGAGTTCTCGGGAGGGAAACCGATTTCGTGGACAGACCCAGCGGGCCACGATTAACGGAGTCCATGCGCCAGACCGCCCTTTTACAGGGTTGTGTTTTAAGTGCGGGAAGCCGGGCCACATGTATAAAGACTGCCCCGACAGGACGCAGGGAAAGAAGAACGACGGGAAGGAGCCGGGAAATGGGAAGAGTCAGTAACAGACGGGCCCCTTACTGACTGCGCTCTGTCGCCCGAACCCCACCATCCCCACCGAGTCGTGGTTCCGATTCATGCAATCGATCGCACTCGGACGAATAACGGGGGTGAACATGTGGATCACCCTGTGCTGGTTGTTGGCACGGTTGTTAAGAAAAAAATTAAAATGTTCGTCGATGGCGGGGCTAGCCATAGCCTCTTCAATCTGGCGACAGCAAAAAAATGCAAGTTGCAGCTGGACAGGTGTCTGCCCGAAATTGACGCCCGCCTCGTGGATGGGACGCCTCTGGCGATTTTGGAAGAAACACGGACGGTGCGGATTGAGTGCGGCGACGATTTCGGCTTCAGCATGAAGTTTCTCGCGACGACGTTGGACGGATGCGACGTGCTCCTGGGACGCGATTGGCTGCGACGGCACAACCCGGTAATCGATTGGACGACGGGATCGTGCAGCATCAGCAAGGACGGGAAGCTGATTACTCTGCCCGCGTGGACTCCGGACTGCATCGAGTCTACATGCGTCAAAGCCATCACGATTACACGCCACGTCAACAGGGGTGCGCAACTGTTCGCCGTATGCTTGCGCGAGTTGGCAGCCGACACTGACGGAAACGACATCGAGAAGCTGTGCGCAGCTGTACCACCTGATTTAGCGGAGCTGATTCGACAGTACCCCGACATCTTCCCCGACGATTTGCCACCTGGCCTGCCACCCGAGAGACCCGAAGACCACAAAATCCAGCTGGAACCTGGCGCGCATCCGACTGTTCGTACACAGTGGCGGTTGACTCAGCCCGAACTCGCGGAGCTTCGAAGTCAACTTGAGTCACTGTTGGAGAAGGGCTTCATCCGACCCAGTACTTCGCCCTTCGCCGCACCGATCCTGTTCACACCGAAGAAGGACGGCGGCATTCGCATGTGCATCGACTATCGCGCGCTCAACCGGGTTACCATCAAGTCTCGCTATCCCATCCCACGCACCGACGACCTCCTCGACCAACTTCGCGGCGCTCGCTACTTCTCAAAGATTGACCTACGCGGCGGTTACCACCAAATCAGAGTATTCGCTGACGATTGTCACAAGACCGCCTTCCGAACCCGCTACGGCAGTTACGAGTTCACAGTGATGCCTTTCGGCCTCACGAACGCGCCATCAACATTTCAACGCACCATGAACAGGGTATTTCGCGACCTGCTGGACAAGTGTGTTATCGTCTACTTGGACGATATTCTGATTTTTAGCAGGACACGCGAGCAGCACCTCCGCGACCTCGACGCAGTGTTTAAGCGGCTACAGGAGAACCGGCTCATCACCAAAGGCTCTAAGTGCGAGTTCTTTAAGCAAGAGTTGGAGTTTTTGGGGCACGTCATCTCACGCGACGGCATCAAAATCGACCCGAAGAAAATCAAGACCATCCAGGAATGGAAGGCCCCGACTAATGTCACAGAACTTCAGAGTTTTCTGGGGTTTGTGAATTATGTCCGGCGGTTTATCCCGAATATGGCGGGGATAACCGGCCCGCTGACCGACCTGCTGCACAAGGATAAAAATTTCGTGTGGGGGGAAGAGGCTGAGGCGGCTTTTCAGGAGTTGAAGCAGTTACTGGTGTCCCCTCCGGTTCTTCGCATCGCCGACCCATCCAAGCCGTTCGAAGTCGTCACCGACGCTTCAGATTTCGCCATCGGCGCAGTGCTGCTCCAGGATTTTGGCAACGGCTTACAACCGATCGCCTACGAGTCACGCAAGTTGCAGGCAGCCGAGCGCAACTACCCGATTCACGACAAGGAGATGCTCGCCATCATTCACGCGTTTAAACTGTGGAGATGCTACCTGACTGGCGCCGACGTCACTGTTCGCACCGATCATAAATCCCTACAGTACCTTCGAGCGCAACCCAACCTCAACCCACGACAAATCCGGTGGCTCGATTACATGGAGTCACACTTCCACTACAGGATCACCTACAAGAAGGGCGCGAACAATATTGCCGACGCCCTGACCCGACCGACAGTCCAATCCGCTGCTGTGCTGATCACCCATTCGAACCCGCTTCTTTCGGGACTATTCACCCACGGCTACACTACGGACCCGTTCTTCACGACTGGAAATCACCAGCAGGCGACGACGCAGAAAGGGAATTATTACCTAAAGGCCGGAACTGACCGGATTTGGGTTCCCGCTTACCGGCTGCTGCGCGAACTCCTTATTCAGGAGGTCCATGATTCCAACCTCTCCGGACATTTCGGGGTTGATAAAACCCAGAAGTTGTTGCACCGTCAGTATTATTGGCCTGATTCTGCTAACGACGTGCAGCGATATGTGTCCTCATGCAGGGTGTGCCAAGCCATGAAATCGACACGTCAGCGGCCAGCTGGGTTGCTGCAACCTCTCGAGCCACCCGAACGACCATGGCAACAGGTGACGATGGACTTCGTCACGGGGCTGCCAGCTGGGCCGTCCGGCAACGACGCTGTACTCGTCGTCGTCGATCGCCTCACAAAAATGGCGCATTTCGCACCTTGTCGCACGACAATCACCGCCGAAGAAACTGCACGCCTCTTCATCTCCACCGTTGTGCGACTACACGGCATCCCATCGGCGATCATCAGCGACCGGGACCCAAAGTTCACATCGAAATTTTGGAAGGAGACGTGGGCGCAGTACGGAACGAAGCTACAGTTCTCGTCGGCATACCACCCGCAAACCGACGGCCAGACCGAGCGGACCAATCAGACGATGGAGCAGCTTATCATGACAAACTGCCCCGACCCCGCTCGCTGGGAACATTCGCTCGCCATGCTGGAATTCGCGTTCAACAACGCTCCGTCCAGCACGACTAATCACTCCCCGTTCTTCTTGAATTACGGGATGGACCCGGTGGTACCTACAACGACTACACTTGACAACCCGGTCCCGAGGTCACAAACATTTGTGACAGAACTCCAAGAAATTCGCGAGAAGGCTGCGGACGCAATTCGCAAGGCGAATACCACTTCCCGCAAATACACCGACCTTTTACGACGGGAACTCGTCTTGGCAGCTGGGCAACTAGTACTACTGGACACGAAGAACCTGCACCTGCCCGGCCCATCGAAGTTACGGCCACGATTCTGTGGGCCTTTCAGGATCCTCAAGATGGTGACACCTGTCACCGCGAAGCTGCTACTACCCGACGACTGGCGAATTCACGACGCCTTCCACGTCAGCTTATTACGCAAGTTCGTGCCTGCCACAACAGACATCGCGCGCCAGAACGCCGTCCCGACAGCTCGACCTGGAGACCGTAGACCGGCCGCTGAAGCCTCCACTGGGTACCAGGAGGAAACGACCCAGTGAAGCCAGGTGGGCGGCGCAGCCAGATCTCCTCGTGCAGGCTGCCCTGCAAGAAAGCAGTGCTGAAGTCAAGTGAGTGAAGCTCGTAGTCGCGGTGAGCGGCTATGTGCAGCAGCACCCGAAGAGTAGTCATCTTCGGGGTGGGGGAGAAGGTCTGGAAGAAATCAACTCCCTCTCGCTGACTGAAGCCTCGAGCCACGTAACGCGCCTTGAAGACAGGCGGAGAACCTGGCGGCCGCTTCACCCTGAAAATCCACATGCCACTGACGATGTTCGTCCCAGGAGGGGGAACCTCGTCGACGTAGGTGCGTGTGGACTTCCAGGAGGCCATCTCTGCGTTCATGGCTGTCTGCCACTGAGAGGAGTAGGGACCCGCCATCGCCTCAGCGTAAGTGCGCGGGGTCGGGATGTCTGGTGCATCCGGGTCTCCCTCAGGGGCAACTAGCAAGGACACGAGACGGGCCAAAGCAGCAGCAAGACACTGAAACTCCTCCTGTCTGTCCTCAAGGACGTCCGTGCCAAGAGCACACTCACCCCCGACGGACGGAGGACAGACAGACTCAGACTCAGACCCAGCAACAAGGCTAGCAGCGTAGTCTAGACGACAGGCAGCAGCAAAGTCAACCAACTCAGCGACCAGAGCAGACGCAGTCGAGGACTCAAAGGTAGGGTCAGTGACAACAGTAGCGAGGAGACGCGTGACAGTAGGGTGCTCAGCACGGTACCGGTCAGACTCAGGGTCCGGAACGTGAGGCAAAGAAGACGCAGGAGGAGACGGTAGAGGGATACGCTGAGGAGCAGTAGAGGGACGCAGAGTCATGTAGTGAGTGCCTGGGACAGGAGGAGGACGCTCACGACGGACACGACTACCAGTGCGAGCAGGACGAACAGGCGACGCTGGACGAGACTCAGGCTCACGACGCTCTGTAAGACCTCCTGTGGGACCAGTGTAAGGAGAGGGAGCAGGGAGAGGCGAGGTAGGCGGTAACTGTGACTGCGGCTGGACAGGCAGAGGACACTTTACGGAGGGAGGAGGACAAGGAGGAGGAGCCTGCCCAAGAACCTGCTGAAGGAGCGGTACGAAGTACGGTCGCGGCCGCGCAGCGTCTCCAGAAGCAGAGGAGACTCCAGCGGCCGGGTCCACAGCACCAGCAGCAGCTCCACCGGCCGGGTCCTCAGCAGCAGCAGCAGCGCCACCGCTCGGGTCCTCAGCTCCAGCAGTAGCTCCACCGTCCGAGTCCTCAGTACCAGCAGCAGCTCCACCGTCCGGGTCCTCAGCACCAGCAGCAGCGCCACCGCCCGGGTCCTCAGCTCCAGCAGCAGCTCCAACGTCCGAGTCCTCAGCACCAGCAGTAGCTCCACCAGGCGGGTCCGCAGTACCAGCAGCAGCTCCCACGTCCGGGTCCTCAGCACCAGCAGCAGTGCCACCCCCAGGGTCCGCAGCACCAGGAGCACCACTCCGAAGACTGCAGCGCCGTGTGTACCACTCGCGGATCTGCTGAATGGGGGGGAGCTCCTGGGTAGGAGGGGAAGTACCGGGACGAGCTCCAGCAGCACCTCTCCGGAGGCGGCAGTACTCGAGGTACCTCTCCTGCAGCTGCTGGGAGGAGAGGGCTCCTCCAGGTGTAGCACGCTCAGGCTCAGCACCCCCAGACGCAGCACCCCCAGACCCAGCACCCCCAGGCTCCGCACCTCCTGGCTCAGCACCCCCAGGCTCCGCACCCCCAGACTCAGCACTCCCAGGCTCAGCACCCCCAGACGCAGCACCCCCAGGCTCAGCACCCCCAGACGCAGTACCCCCAGGCTCAGTACCCCGAGTAGGACGAGAGTCAACAGCTACCTCGACAGGCTCACCCGGGTCTACCTGGGACACACCTGAGGGAGCGGCACCCTGAGGGGGGAGGGGGTCTGGTACCTCAGCACCTGGAGCGAGGAAGAGAGGCGGGGGGGGGAGCGGGGCAGTGCGGTAGGGGAAGAGGCGGTAGTAGGGGACGGACTCGTCAAAAGTGACGTCCTGAGAGGCCAGGACACGCCGCGAGGTGGGGTGGTAGAACTGCCAACCAGGGGCGTCCGGGACAAAGCCAAGGAAGACGCAGGGGACAGCGCGACGGGAGAGCTTGTCCGCGGACGTGTCGCGGACAAAAGCTCGGGATCCCCAGACCCGAAAACGCGACGCATCGCCAGCCTCTCCCGTCCAACGCAGTGTCGGAGAAGTCTCGGGCAAGGAGACACGGGGCCAGAGGTTGAGCTGATGCGCAGCGTATCGGACTGCAAACGGCCACAGAAAGTGGGGGGCAGCCGCATGAACCAAGGAGGTACGAGCGACCTCCATGACCAAGCCAATGCGGCGCTCAGCAACCCCATTCTGCTGTGGAGAGGCCGGAAGCGTGAACGACTGCTCAATGCCCTCCTGCTGATAGAAGGCCTCCAAGAGGCCAGAGGAAAACTCTCCACCTCTGTCAGAGTGCAGACGCAGGACAGGGAAGTCGGAGTGGAAACGCTCACTGAGCTGGAGACGAGATCTGCGGATCCAAGGGATCAAGACATCAGGGACGTCACCCTTGGTGCGCAAGGGGAAGACTGTGGTGTAGCGCGAGAAGTCGTCAACAACAATCAGGAAGTACCTCTCCTGACCCTGGCCACGGACGCGGGCTGGGCCCCACACGTCCATGTGGAGCGTCTGCAAAGGAGCAGTCGTCGGGGGAAAGGAGGAGGAGTGAGGAGCGGCGCGCTGCCGCCCCTCGACACAGGGAAGACAGGGAGGAGCAGGTGAGGCTGGAAGGGGAGGGAGCACCCTGGGAAGCCCAGCAACAAGGTCCCGTTTGTGCATGGCCCGAAGGCGCTGCACAGACGGGTGACCAAGGCGGTGGTGCCAAAGGACAGTCTCATGCGCCAGAGAGCGACACGAGCAGGGGGCGGATAGCTGACCTGACGCAGACGCAGACGCGGACGCAGCTACCTGAGGGGAGTCAGTGGTCAGTGTGTAAAGGTCCGACCCCGGCTCCCGAGTGAAGGTAGCCAGGTGGCGACCCGTCCGAGCACACGTGCAGTGTGTCACGCGCTCGTAGGCAGGGGTGAACTGGTGAACACCCCCGTCCTGGAGCGCACTACCTGCCACCAAGTTCGTAGAGAACGAGGGGAGGTAGAGACCTGACAGCGTGCCGGACGGGACCGCCGGACAAGGAAGGACAGTGGAGGAGGTCGCAATGACCGGACCCCCAGAGGGGTCAGCAAGGGAGACAGCAACTGGCCGAGCGAGTGGCTCAAGGACAGTGCGGTCACGAAAGAAAGAGCGAGAAGCACCTGAGTCCAGGGTGAAGGTGTGCAGTGCTGCAGTCGACTCAGTACCAGGGGGCACGGACGCACGAGCACCTAGGGCTGCAGCCTCACCAGGACCTGTGGGAGGAGACGCACTAGCACCTAGAGCGGCAGCCGGACTGGCCTGAATGCCCGGGTCGGGCGGAACACGCAAGTACTGAGCACCCTCTCCACTAATAGACATCGCATACATGGCAGTGAGAATAGCATCAAAGTCTAAAGCCCAAATATCAACACCCCTCTTTTCCAGATCAGCCCAGCGCGGCAGCTCAGTGGCAGCAGGAAACTGAGTGCGCCACGCGTCGTTAAGGCGCGCGAAGCAGCGCTGCGTGGGGTGCGGCCTCCCACACTGCTGGCCGCTGCGGTCACCTGTGCGAATGACGTACGTGCAGGTAAAGCTACGCTGCGCATACCACTCACGGGCGGCCTGAAGCGTCGGGGCGGGCTGCTGACTCTGCCCTCCGCCAGTGCCTCCACGACCACCACCCCCACCGCCGCCGCCCCGGCCACCTCCACCCCTGCCGCCGCCACGACCACCTCCGCCTCCGCTGCCGCCTCCACCACCACTCCCACCGCTGCTGTCTCCTCCCCCACTGCCGCCACTAGTCTCCCCAGCCGCGCCTCCACTCCCACCGCCTCCACCCCCACCTCCTCCGCCGCCACCCCCACCCCTGCCCCCCTTGTTCCTGCGGCGCCCACTCGAAGCAGACGCGGTCCCGACCTTCTCAGCACCAAGAAGGTCGACAGCAGCAGCAGAGGCGACAGAGGGGAGGAGGGGGGAAGGGGAACACCCCTCAAAGAATGGGGTGCGGGGGTCGCCACGAGAGGTGCCTACAGCGACGATGCTCGCCTCAGCTGCAAGCAGTTCCTTCTCGAGGAGGGCAACAGTGAGCTCAGTGGGGGAGCGAGAGAGGAAGTGGTCCCTGACTGCGCGCAGAGAGTCAGGAAGGCGGGTGACGATGTGGTAGAGAGTGATCCAGAGCGGGGGGGGGTTGCTAGTGAGAAACTCGGCAGGCATAGCAGCGCGAAAGCGGGCCTCACTAGTCTTAAGGTGGGTGATGAGGTCTGCGACAGTGTGAAAGGAGGCTAGGTCGGGGAACAGGTAGGGGAGAGTGAGGCGGCCTAGCGTGGCAGAAGCTGGCGAGGAGTAGCGGGCAACTACAGCGGTGTAGAGGTCCTTAGCAGTCTTGCACTGGCCGAAGTGCTCGCGCTCGTCTAGCGGCAGGGAGTTGCGAATAGCAAAGCGAGCGTGCGCATCACGGGTCTGCCACTGGGAACGCAGAGTGCTGTCAGCAGTCGAGTCAGGGGCAGTGGCATGGCCTAGGGCGTGGTCGTACAGTGAGATATCTTCCTTGGCAGTGAGCTGTAGGAACAGGTGCAGGTCATCTAGCCAGGTTTCGAACTTCACTGGACGGCCCTCGGCATCGAAAGCTAGAACTGGCGGACTAGCCATAGTGACAGTAGTAGTAGGAATCAGGCCGCTGGAAAGGTGTGCGGAGGGTCAACGGGGCCGGCGGGGCCGCTAGGCAAGGCGCGGGCGGGGTCGACTGTCCGTAGTGGCACACGAGCGGCAGTAGTAGGTAGAAGGTAAACAACAGTGAGAGCGAGTGCCTCGCGGGCGGCGGCTGCAGAAGCGCACAGGCGGCAGCGGCGCACTGGGAACGGCGGTGCACGGGCAGCGGGAGCGCACGGGCAGCGGCAGCGTAGGAGCAGCGACGGCGCACGGGCAGCGGCGGCGCACAGGCAGCGGCGGCGCTCGGGAGGCAGCAGTGCGCAAGCAGCAGCGGAAGCAGCGGCGTACGAGCGGCTGCGGGCAGCGGGGCGTGCGCTAGCAGGCGACGGGCGGCTGCGGGGCGTGCACGAGCAGGCGACGGGCGGCTGCGGGGCGTGCGCGAGCAGGCGACGGGCGGCTGCGGGCGGGCGGCCGCTGCGACAGCGGGCTGCGGGCCTGCGGGACGTGCGCGAGCAGGCGACGGGCGGCTGCGGGGCGTGCGCGAGCAGGCTACGAGCGGCTGCGGGGCGTGCGCTAGCAGGCGACGGGCGGCTGCGGGGCGTGCGCGAGCAGGCGACGGGCGGCTGCGGGGCGCGCGCGAGCAGGCGACGGGCGGCTGCGGGGCGCGCGCGAGCAGGCGACGGGCCGCGCGCGAGGGAAATAAGGCGCGCGCGGGAAAAAAAAAGGCCGCGCGCGAGCGGCTAAGGGGCGGCGCGACGGGGCCTTAAGGGGCGGGTCGCGGGTCGCGGGAGGTAGGGGCCGTAAAAAAAAGTTCGAGGCGCCCTAGGTAGGTAGGTAACGGTGGGCCCTTAAAAAAAAAACGGTCCTAGCGAAGGACCTGCTCTGAAACCATGTCAGAATGAACAGACAGGAATGACTGTACTAGCACAAAGTTGGATACAAGTAGTAAACCCTAATCTAGTGTACCCCCTAAGGTGTAACCCACTACAGCCTACAATCATATAAACATATAATGTTTGACAACATCGCGCGCCCCTGAGCGCACTGTGAACATGCCCTCTGACAACACTGACAACCGACAGGAGCAGCGGTCGCCGTTCACTGGCCCCCGTTCACTGGCCCCCGTTCACTGTACCGCGATTACGTCAGTCCAATTTGGGGTACTACTCTCCTAGTTCCATACCCAAATTGCCCCTGGCTGGCGTGAGTGCAAGAAAAGGAGCAAAATAATTATGGGGAAGGTGAGTGGAAGGGGGTTGTGTATTCAGGAACAGTGTAACTGGCACCAGAATTTCAGAACGATAGAGAAATTGGAACACTGGGACCCAAACCTGACGGTCTGGACTGTACATGTGTGCACCATCCCTGAGCCTCTAGCCGCAGCAGCCGATGCGCCAAAGTTCATGGAAATCGGCTGCGGAATGCTTTGTTCCTGTTTGTGGGTTGGGGCCTGTCAGAGGTCCACTGGAGATCCCCGATGATCCTAGGGAAGGGTTACAGGCATGTTGGCCTGGGGGGTTATGGGCGCACTCACCCGCTACACAAACAAGCCCTTTTATCCCAGTGGTTAGTGGCTGGGATTCTGACAGGGGCCAACTCCAACAACACCCTTGCTTTGGGAGCTGGGGTGGTTGTGCAAACTTGGGGAAGTTGTTTTTCTTGAACTATCTCAGGGAAACTTTTTTCCTTGTACCCGCTGCAGATGTGCGACAGAATTGTTGTGACCAAATTTTCCGAGCGCGCGAAGCAGGTTTCATGTGAACTTGGCCGTAGTGTATCACGAGATGGCTTTGATCGTCGCGAAGTGAACGTTGACGAAACTCGACGTACTGTAGGGCGGGTCGATGAATCCTGACGGTCGGAACGCTCCATCCGAGGGTGGAAATTCGTCGACAGTCACCGACAAAATTGTTGCTGTACTGTAGGACACGCACCAGCTCGGCCAGCTGGCCAGTTGTCCAGACTCAAACAGCTAAATGCATTGTGTACACTCAAAATTGTTTCTGTACATCATTTGATCATAACCAGGGCCTATGTTATCAGGGCAATTACCCTGTTTTGACTGAGATTATAGTGTGTTTTTTCGGGGAACCCTGATTTGTCAAGGTGATTTTCGGACCAGCCCGTAAAACTGAAGGGTGATTTTTGAGTCAGCTCGGATCCCTCCGGGATGTTCTCAAGGGGACCCGTATAGGTGACCTGCTTTACATTCGTCTCCGTCTCCCTGTAAACACACGTTTGGGCCACTTTTAGTGAATCTCCTACCACTCTCTCCTGGTTGGCCTCTAAGTGTCTGATCGCCCTGTACGTCGACATGGCTTATAGTACTACTCCTGATCGTTATTTTTTGAAGTAAACAAAAAGGCTGTCACCCGCCCCTCTAGAGCCACTCCTTTCACCCCTCGTGCAACCCACCGTGAGTTTCTCGACTCCCCCATCCCGCGGAATTTTGGTAATGCATGGTTTCAAGCCTTTTCTAGCTCGAACCCGGAGTCGTCAAGGCATTTTTTTTCCACTGGCTCGGATTTTCTAGGGTCTTTTTCACAGGGGCCCGAATCATCCGAGCTAGCAAAAATCCTAGCAATAGCCTTGATCATAACAACCTCAACTGTTCCGTTACATGGAACTACCAACACGAGGCTGCAATGACCAACTCAGGGTACATTCCTACCTCGTGTCTGACATCAGGTCATCCGTCCTTGGATGCTCAGAAGACCCAAAGTGGCTCGAAATTGGGGCAAATCAAAATTGGGCGAGACAAATCAGAGACTAAGGGCGGATGACCTGATGTCAGACACGAGGTAGGAATGTACCCTCATGTGTGGATCAATACAATTTTTTGACAGAACTTACTACTACCATATATCTACAAAAATCAGATGGTTCTCCTTTGGAAGGATAATATTTATAAATCTAACACCATATAAAACGAAGGCATCGTAGTAAGCCAACTATGAACGTGATTTGTGCTTATGAAAGCGGAAAAACAAGCTCTCCCTTCTCCTTTGTATAAGATCCAGCATACCATCCCCTTTTCCTGTCTCTTTCTTTCTCTTGTCTAATCTCACCACCTCATCGGGGGCCGTACCGTCCATTGTATAAGGCAACCCTTTACCCACTCCCGCTCCACCACCTACACCTGGCGAAGGTGGTACTTTTCCTATAGATCCGACCAAACGGCGCTCTTGAAGCATGGCTCCAAGCACCATCGCAACCCAAGAGTCCGGAACCCCTGGGAGGCACCAGTGTACACAATCCTTATTTACTCCGCCTGACCCGACAAACGCGTCAGGGCGGTATACCGAAGCAGAGGTCACGTCTATAAGGTGTATGTGTGATTCGGCGAAGATTTTCCGCTGAAGCGGAAGCCATTTGGACGTTTGTGGGTTCCGCTTGCGGTACAGGAAAACCTGGAGAATGGGGTTAAGGATTTGTGCGGCGTGGAAAATTGAGTCGATTGAAAAAAAAAACAAACACCTGGATTATGGGGTGGAAAGGTAGGTGAGTTTATGGAGCAATCATGCAGTGGGGGTAAAGGATTTGATGGTAAAGTGAATAAGGAAGCAAGATCTCTCTCTCTCTCTCTCTCTCTCTCTCTCTCTCTCTCTCTCTCTCTCTCTCTCTCTCTCTCTCTCTCTCTCTCTCTCTCTCTCTCTCTCTCTCTCTCCCTCTCTCTCTCTCTCTCTCTCTCTCTCTCTCTCTCTCTCTCTCTCTCTCTCTCTCTCTCTCTCTCTCTCTCTCTCTGCGGCTCATACCAGTACCTCTCTTTGCCCTGACTGCTGTTGTACGCCCCGTCTCTCACCTCTTCCTCTGTGCGAGGCCCGAAGGAGGCAGTACAGCCGCTCTGCTTTGTGGGAGCTGAGAGAAAGAACACCACCGGCCACTTGTTACCACCAGCAGCAGAACCACCAACACTGCTGCTCCCACTGCTGTTATTGCTGCTGCTGCTGCTGCTGCTGCTGCTGCTGCTGCTGCTGCCACGTGTCACCTTGTCATTGGACCGATCCACCAGCTTCTTCACACTCTGCATCCCAGCCCTGTGAAGGATAAAGAGAGGAAAACCCCTCAGCAGATCAGTGTAGATACCTAAATACACAGAAGCGCTTATCTAAAATGCCCTGCACAAGGCCCGAGAGGCATGATAAATCGCATGCATGGACACCTTACCTAAACGCGCGGTAGAAGCGCGACTCGTTATAAGCAACTCGCCCCCGCCTGTCTGTAAAGAACCGGCGCCACCGGGTGCGTTTCGGCTGCCAGTGTGCCGCCGATTGCAGCAACAGCACTTCGTACTTAGCTAAGTACCGCCCCCAACGCCAATCCACACCCTCCAAATTCACCACCGAATCCTCGGGCGTTACCGGGCGGCCTTTATTGTATTTAGCAAGGGTTTGTTTGTCCTGCCAGTACTGGTTGAGGAAAGTGCTCCAGGTGTTCACTATAGTCACATTGTATTGTGGCACGTGGTAGACTAGGCTGGTGCGGGGGGCGAGTTGAGGGGGCACTGGGATGCGATGCACTGGGGATGCTTGGTGTAACTGCCATTACGAGTAAGGAAAAGGGGGGAAGGGAAAGAGGGGAAGAGAGGGGGAGGGAGGGTGACGGAGAGGAGGAAAGCAAGTAGATGCAAGAATATGATTCACAGGGTAGGGGGAAAAGAGAGAGTGGGGAGAATGGGGAGCGGAGTGCGAGGGAGGCTGGGGGAGGAAAAGAAGGGAAGAGGGAAACGAAGAGTGTGTGGCTCAGGAGGGAAGTGTGTGGCACATGAGGGAAAGTACCTGGAAAAGAAGAGACGGAATGAGAGAAAATTAGAGAAGGCTTTTGAGTCGACTCAAAAGTCACCTCATGGGAGGGATGGTGCGTAGCACAGCAGGGAGGGATTGTGGCAAAAGCAGGAAAGTATGTAGCAGATGAAGGAAAGTATGTAGCAGATGAAGGAAAGTATGTAGCAGATGAAGGAAAGTATGTAGCAGATGAAGGAAAGTATGTAGCAGATGAATTAAAGTATGTAGCAGATGAAGGAAAGTATGTAGCAGATGAAGGAAAGTATGTAGCAGATGAAGGAAAGTATGTAGCAGATGAATTAAAGTATGTAGCAGATGAAGGAAAGTACGTAGCAGATGAATTAAAGTATGTAGCAGATGAAGGAAAGTACATAGCAGATGAACTAAAGTACGTAGCAGATGAAGGAAAGTACGTAGCAGATGAAGGAAAGTACGTAGCAGATGAAGGAAAGTACGTAGCAGATGAAGGAAAGTACGTAGCAGATGAAGGAAAGTACGTAGCAGATGAAGGAAAGTACGTAGCAGATGAAGGAACGTAAGTAGCAGATGAAGGAAAGTACGTAGCAGATGAAGGAAAGTACGTAGCCGATGAAGGAAAGTACGTAGCAGATGAAGGAAAGTACGTAGCAGATGAAGGAAAGTACCTGGCAAAGTGACTACCGAGTCGACTCAAAAATAACCTCGTAGATTATGAAGGAAGTACCTGGCAAAGGAGCGTATTTTTTAGTCGACTCAAAAAAAGGAAGTACCTGGCAAAGGAGCGATGGAATGAAGTTAAAGTAGGAGAGGGAATCGCCTGCTGATGCAAACACTCTGGGAGAGAATGAAAGAGGGGTGGGGAGATGGGTAGAAGAGATGAGTGAGGACAATGGATAGGGTTGGACAGGTGGGGAGTGCGCCATTGGAACGAGGTGAGTTTTGAGTTGACTCAAAAGTCAGGGGCGAAGCGTTGGGTAGTGTTGGGTAGACGAGACGAGTGTGTACAATGGATTGGGTTGGACAGGTGGGGGTGTACGAAGGGGGACGGGTAAGTTCGGGAGAAAAAAGACAAACTACCAGTGCCTCCATTAAGAGCAAGAAGAACGAAAGAGTAAGCAAAGGAGGGAGGGAGGGGGGAGGGGGAGGGGGGGCCCGGGGGGAGGTAGTTTTGAGATTGGACATAAGGAGATTGGATCAAAGGAGGGGCGAGCTTACCTTCTCAGAACTACCCTTCCCCTGCTCTGCCCCAAACCCCCTTTCACCAACCTTTTCCCTTGCCTCCCTCTCTCCCTCTCCCTCCCTCCCTCCCTCCCTCCCTCCCTCCCTCCCTCCCTCCCTCCCTCCCTCCCTCCATTTCACTCACTCACTCCCGTTGTCTCCACTCACTCCCGTTTTATCCACTCCTCCCCTCAGCCATGCACCTACTTGTTTCTCATGAGCGTCAGAAACTGTTTGGGGCGAAAGAAGAGAGGCGTGAGGCACCCAGTCGGTTGCCAGCGATAGCGCTGCAGCGATGGGGAGGGCAAGAGGCAGACTATTCAACCAAAAAAAAAAAAAACAGAACAAAACGCCGAGTTTCTAACGTGTGCCACAATCTCTAAGCGAGTTTGTTATAGATGGGTCCTTTTTCAACACACCAGCCACTAGCATGGGCGCTTGGGCTCGTTATGAAGCAGCTGTTGTACTTGCTATAAGAGCCCTTACAGGTTCGGCCAACGCACCGCCACATGCATTCCCTTCAACCGTCTTTACACCAGCCGACTCGACAGTATTTTGTAGCGAGTTTCGTAATAATGAGGAAGCCCTTAACTCACCAGCCACGGGAATGGTCGCTTGTGCTTGTTCATCAGGCAGCTTACAGGGCCAATGCCCTGCATGAAAAACACGGGGGAGGGGAAGGAGAGAAGGGAGGGGGGAGGGGAGGTTGGACTTTTGAGTCGACTCAAAAGTCACCTCGGGAATAGTCGCTTGTGCTCGTTCACCAGGCAGCTTACAGGGCCAATGCCCTGCATGGAAACCACGGAGGAGGGAAACGAGAGAACGGGGGGGTGGGTTGTGGGGGAGGGGAGGGAGGGGGAGATGAAGGGTGTGTGTTTGAAGGAGTTGAGAAGAACGTGAGCGTCTCAAAGATGCTTTCCTGGAGAGGGATAAGGTGCGCGCCTCAAAAATGCTTCCTGGAGAGGGAAAAGCGAGCGCCTAAAAAAAAACATTTAGAGAATTTCTCAGAAGCAACACCAACATCGTTGGAGGGGAAAAGGTGCGTTTGTAAATAATGCCTTGCGAGGGGGAAAGGTGGGAAGAGTCATGAAATGCACAGAAAACCAAGAAGCTCCCCGTACCAGGGGAGTGTGGCATGAAAGAATGGCGCGAGAAACCGGTGCAGGGAAACGGTGCGGGGAAACGGTGCTGGGAATCGAAACCGGCAAGAGAGCGGAGAATCGCCGCGGGAAATGGGCACGGGGAATCGGCCTTGCGAGATAGCCAGGGTTCAAAGCTTAAAGTTGCCCCGCCCCACGGAGAGGTCGCTAACAGCGTGGAATGCGGCGACATGGGCGGGGAGAGCTTTCGCGTAATAAACGAGTTGCTTAAAGACGTCTCAAAACTTTATATTTTCTATCAATGGGCTCAAATAAGGAGCGCTTTTGCTCCACGGGGAGAGGCCCCGAGTCGCAGCGCGAATTGCGGCGCACCTTGAGGAAGGGGCAGTCGGCGCGATACGCGCCGTGCTGCATGGCGGGAGTCACGGGCAGCCATTGGCCGACGGAGAAGTTGCACCTCGCTGTTATCACTTTCTTTCCAGTCACCCTCGCTGTAATCACATTCCTCACAGTTACCCTCGCTGTGGTCACCTTCTCTAGAGTGCCGGCTTGACTCGATATTGGTAGAGAAGTTGCTAGAATCGCCAGGATAAGGATTGCGGCGGCAGTAAGGAAAGGGGAAGCATGATCGAGACGCGTTAGGAAATGATGCGTTAGAAAACGATGCGTTAGAAAACGATGCGTTAGAAAACGATGCGTTAGGGAACGATGCGTTAGGGAGCGATGCGCTAGACGGCGATGCGTTAGAGGGCGATACGCTGTTAGAGAACGGTGCCTTAGAGGACGATGCGCTAAAGAATGACGCGTTAGGGGACAAGCTGGTTTGACGTGCGACTCTAGCTGGACGGTTGGTCGGCGAGATGTCGCCATTCGCGGAAGTATCGGGTTACTCCGTGACAAAATCCTGGGAAGGACCGCAAGGTCTTAGTCCGGTCGACCAGAATTGTTCAGTCAAATACATAAACGGCTCTGTGTAGATTGCGAGCTGGCTCGGTCTGTTAGGCGACTCGTCGAATTACTGCTGAAACGGTGCGAAACGGTGCGATGCGGTGCGATATCAAGTTACAATGCGATACGGTGCTTGTACTGTACCAATTTTGGAGCACAGTGAGACTGCGAGGTAGCGAGACAGTGAGGTAGAGTGACAGAGTGGGGCAGTGGGTAACTGCTGAATCGAGAATGTGTGGAGGTCTCAACCATCAAGCAGAGCAGTGGAGAAACGAGGGGCAATTGCGGTCGTGATGTGCCTACCCCGGCACTGAGGGGGTTTGCGTGCAGGATGGCTGGTGCGTTGAACGAGGAAAGTGTTGAATTGAACGATGCTATAGCGGGAAGCGATTGGCCGACGACTAGCAGGTTTGGGTCTCGCCTCATCCGCAAACGACGGTGACGACTGGAAAAGGCGTCGCATGAAATCGTGCGAGGAACACGACGCACATGCGATGGTCAAGCTGCTCTGGCTTTGAGAAATTATTGGCCAGAGAGAACACTGCGAGAGTACGGGGCGTCCCGAACGCACGACCGTGCGAGGTTCGCCAGCGACGAAGAAAAGTGTGCGACGCGCACGTTACACTATTGATATTTGTTATTAAATATACTATTGTTTGCAAGTTACATACGGTACAGACAAAACATTTTGTTTAATTCTGAAGTAGTACAAACTATACAGCCAAATTGGGCTCATTGGCCAACAAGTGATTGACCATAGCAACCCACCAATCAGGAACGCCTGGAAGGCACCAGTGTAAGCAATCTTTATTCACCCCCCCTGATCCAACAAAGGCATCGGGCCTATAAAGGGATGACGTTGTGACATCTATCACACGTATCCGTGTGCCATTGAATGCCTTTTGTTGCAGCGGCAACCATGCAACATACTGACGATTATTCTTGCGAATACTTGCAACCTGCACATGCACGTACAAAAAGACAGCAGCGTGAATGGAAGCTTCGGAAGAAAGCCAGGATCATTCAAATGCATCCCGGCGACAAAACACTCATACCGTGTATGATTACATAACACCGGTGAAGCACATATTTGTAGCAAAACGACTTACCTGAGCATCTGTGTAAAGTGCCTTCAATGCCATGCATCCATCCAATCTCGCCGGGGCAGAAATAAAATAAGTCACCGGCGCCTCTGGTTGGTCGAGGAGATTCTTGATTGCTTCCATGCCATACCTGCAGATCATAATGTGACCGAAACAACAATGCGTCAATTGATGTATTATCCTTTTTTATGTGACAACACACACACACACACACACACACACACACACACACACACAAACACACACACACACACACACACACACAAACACACACACACACACACACACACACACTCACACTCACACACAGGCACACATCGTTACAATTACCTTGCACAAAGCAGCACACTTACTCAAAAGCAGCAAAAAATCTCGACTCGTTGAAGATTTGATCCCCGGTACTGTTCACCCAGAACCGTCTCCACTTATACTTGGTGGCCTGCCAGTGCGCCTGCGTCTGCAATATAAGCACGTCATACTGCCCGATATAAGCCGCCCACTGCGCATCTAGCCCGTCTAGGTTTACAACTGAGTCCTCGTCCGTTAAGGGAACGCCTCCGTTGTATTGTTGGACCGTCTGGGAAGGCAAGGGAGAGAGTAATGGGGGCATAGGGGCATAGTAGGGGTATGGTAGGTTGATATGGAACATGCTCGCAGTTTCCCACTGCGCATCGAGCCCATCTAGGTTCACCACTGAGTCCTCATCTGTTAAGGGAACGCCTCCATTGTACTGCTGGACAGTCTGGGATGGAGGGAGAGAGAACAAAAGATAGGAATAGGGAGTGCGGTAGAATTCAGCTTGAGGGTTCTCACAGCCATCCACTGCTCATCGAGCCTGTCTAGATTCACCAGTGAGTCCTCGTCTGTTAAAGGAACGCCTCCATTGTACTGCTGGACCGTCTGGGAAGGAAGGAGGGTGGAAGGGGGAGTATAGGGGGTAGGGGTGTTGTATGTTGCCATGGAATATATCTTCCCAATCACCCACTGCGCATCGAGCCTGTCGAGGTTCACCACTGAGTCCTCGTCGGTCAATGCAACGCCTCCATTGTACTGCTGGACTGTCTTGGAACAAACAATGGGGAGATATGGAGTGGTGAGGAAACTTCGGCAGGAAACAGCAATCCAGCAGGCACCAGGCTGCTCCACTTGCTGCTTTGGGCTTGGATTGGAAATATATGTTTGAGTGGCTGTGTTTAATATTCGAGTGTGCGCACCTGTTCATCTTGCCAGTACTCGTTGAGAAATGTGCTCCATGTGTTGACCAGCGTAATGTTGTACGCTTTGACCTGGTACACCCCGGTGAGCGGGCTTTGCCCTGCATACATGCGTGCCGTCGTTTGAAATCCGAGTCTGCTCACCTGTTCGTCTTGCCAGTACTCGTTGAGAAAGGTGCTCCACGTGTTGACTAATGTGACATTGAAAACTTTGACTTGGTACACTTTAGTGAGCGGGCCTTGCGCTGCGAATGTGCCGTCGTTAGGAATCTCCGTCACAGGAGAGACTTGGTGTAGCTGCAGAAAGCATAGGAAACGAAGAAAGAAGGAAACAATAAGAAAATATGGTACATAAGCACAGAAAATAAGCATTAAGAAGACAAGAGGCTTAAAAAAAGGTCAGGAAAACAAAAGATAGGGGAAAGGGGAAGTGGGGTTCGGAAAAACAGCAAATTCATGCTGCATGCACAACAACAAGCAAAACAGCATTCTCCAATCATGATTGTAAGTAGGTGCGCCAAAGGGCAACAGCAGCAATGGTTGCTCACCTGACAGAGCAGAGACGGCATGAGGTTGCTGACTGAGAGAGAGTCGCCCACTGAAGCAAACACCCTGCCAGGTAGGGAAAAAAAAAAAAAAGACAAAAGACATTTTACATTTAGGGTCCACAGTGTACACCTCTCTGCGAACATAAGACTTAATACTGAATTTCTCCAAGTCAAACTGTCCCTGAATTACCCGCAACCCTGACCTTCTCCTCTTCTCCCCTCCCCCCCCCCTCCCTAACACCACCACCACCACCACCACCACCGCCGCCGCCGCCGCCGCCGCTGCCACCTGCCATGCTTTCTAAGCCACTCAACTCCGCTCACCTGTTTCTCATTCGTTGCAGGAAGGCCAGAGGGTTGAACGAGAATCACGGCTGCCCACTCGTAGTGGAAAAGCATCACAGCAACTTATCTTTGAGCCTCGCATACTTCCCTTCCCCCCCTGATCGCCTAGTTTCCCCCCAACCAGCGCTCACCTGTTTCTCATTCGTTGCAGGAAGGCCTGAGGGGTGAATGAGAACCATGGCTGGCCACTCGTAGCGGAAAAGCACTACAGCAACTTATCTTAAAGCCTCGCATGCTTCTCTTCCCCCTGATCGCCTAGGTTCCCCCCAACCAGCGGTCACCTGTTGCGCATCCGTTGCAGGAAGGCCAGAGGGGTGAATGAGAACCACGGCTGTCCGCAGTTCTTGGGTCTGTAGCGGTAGTTCTGGGGGGAAACAAGAGGAGCGGGGGGCGTGACGGGGAGAGAAAGGCGGGGAGTCAAGGGGGTTTTGAGTCAACTCAGAAAATCCGCCTGAGGGGTGAATGAGAACCATGGCTGCCCGCAGTTCTTGGGCCTGTAGCGATAGTTCTGGGGGAGGGGATAACGGCGGGTGGGGGAAAGGGGAGAAGGGGAGTGGGGGGACGGGGTTGAAGGGAGGGAGGGGGGAGGGGGGGAGAAGGGGGAGGGAGCGGAGGGGGTAGGCTTTAGTGGATGAATGAGCTTTGGAGCAAAAGCACCCCTGTCCAAACCACCCAGCTCTGTCCGGTCAGAATGATGTCCCCGCCTGGTAACAGGGTTGCTCACCTGTTGCTCATTCTGTCCCGTCAGAATTGTTGTGTTGACTCAAACTTCCTTACCAAAGCAGAGGCAGAAACAAGCTTGGACATTGCAAAAGGGGACAGACCAGTACCCAGCCCCACCGTACCCAACCCATTTCTCACCAGCCAGTTCTTGGGGCGATTCCTGGGCTTGATGATGCAATTCACTGGGCCCACGTTCTGTTGATAGAGAGACCAATCAATCGCGTGAAAGGTATCACACGGGACCGGGGAGAAGAGAGGGGGGAGGGGCGGGGGAAGACTGAAGAGAGGGAGATGAAGTGTAGTTCGTTGGTGAAAAAAAGGAAGCGTGGGGGAGGGGGACGAGGGGAAGGGGTGGGGGAGGGGATTGGGGGATGGAAGATGAGAGAGGCTGTGAGTGAGCGAAATGAGAGGGTAAAGCAACAACGGCAAGCCTACCGCATGGGCGCAAAAATATGCTGCATGCGGGCGCGAATCCCGTCGCACCGTCGCATCGGCGCATCGTCGCTAGCAAATACCTTGAGGAAAGGGCAATCAGCGCCGTAGGGAGCCTTGTTTCGCGAAAGCCACTGACCGCCGCGGGAGAAGTTACACACTGTCGCCTGCGTCGGCTGGAAGCTGGTTACCCCATTCGCCGGCGCCGTCGCGAGCCGTCTCCCGCCGTTCCCTACACGAGTGGCCCACGCGCCGCCCGTGTCAGCGCGGCACGCGGCGCAAACTAAGGACGCGATTAAGGCGCTCGTAAGCAGTGTCCTTATATCGAAGCGTAGGATAACGGCCATCTGATGCACGCTTGTTCGCGCTACTACTAGGGAGCGACCCGCCGCCATGCCGCGGCAACGCAGGCTCGCGCCGCTCAGGCTCGCAAAACAAACATATACGCCCGCCATGTCGTCTAGTGTCGTAACGATATACGCCCGTATCGAATCTGCTCCCGAGTCGACAGAATGTGTGCGAAGATATAGGGTAGGGAAAAGAGCCCGTCGAACGACTTGCGGATTTGTAACAAGTGCAAGAAGAATGCAAGAACTAACTATGACACTTTCCCGCTCGTACCCACCGCCAACAGGAAACAGCCTGGGGTATAGCTAACCTGCACCTGCGCTTTTCTAGGCGCGTCATAATTTCATAAATCGAATGACTAGATAGATCTACGCGTCCGTGAGGAGTGAAGTTGAGTGGAGTGGACTGGTTGGTGTGAGTAGGATAACACCTGGTTGTGAACAGTGCGCTGCGCTACCCACTGCACGGGAGCAGCAGCACCGACACGACAAGCTTCACCTCGTCGCGTCAGCTTGTGCGCAGCATAGCGATTTGTGGACGTTAGGTGGCATTGAGTCGAGTCGCACTGGATACGCGTGGTGGGGCGGAAAAGATTGACGACAGGTCCAAAGAAAATAGCCCCACCCAACCACCCAGCACGGATTCGATGCGGGTTGAGTAACCAGGGGCTAGCGAAAATAATGGCGAAGAATTAGATGGTTGTATCTGTGTTGCTGTGCAACATTCGCTCTCCGGCTTCCTTCACGGCGGATTTTCGTTTCGATTTCGGCTGGGCTTTTCGTTGCTTCGCCCTCGTCTCGTCGCTGAACAACTGTGTCTTGGGAGAGGGGGCCATCCAAGCCGTTGGTTGCCGGAACTCGATTGTTGACCCGTCACGCAACCAAGACGTACCCGACTCGAGAAAACGGTGGACCTGAGGTCGGTGAGGAACAGTCAAGCCGACATCGACACCTTGTTTCAGTCACCTGCAAAATGTGCTTAACGTGATTTTTATTGATGCAGTCTACACCACAAACGATGAAGCTAGCACATACAGCTCATGAAAGCAAGTTGTGGAAGCTAACTAGAACCTAGGATACCCAAAGAACCCGCTCTTGGTGCAGAATCCAGGTCTGAAATTGGTGATTGCCGCATAGAAATAGAATCCTATGGTCACCGCCCAAATGGCAGGGATGATGTTGAAAAGCAGCACGCGATAATCACGCTTCGGCAGCAGCTGCTCTGGCCTCAGATATGGCACCCCATACTCATCATAATTGAGATACTTCCTCCGGTCCTCCGGCTTGGGATGCGTTGGGGACATTATGACATGGATAATCGGCACGAGCATGCTTTGCACTGAAAAGAGGATGAATGGGGCCCATGAGGTGACCTTAAGAAGCTGCAAGAGTTGCAAGTGGGCAGGGAATAGTAAGGGTTGCAGGGAAACGATGATACATAAGGCAACTTACCAAAGGATCAACATAGTTGCACGAGAGAACAAGGGCAGCCAAACCAGGCATAGAGTGAAACCAAGGAGATATGGCTTCCTTCCTAAGCTTACCATTCCGCAGTCATGGAAGTCGACAGTAGCGAATCGCCACGCCACCGCACCAACCCCCGCCACACAGAACCCCACATGGAACCACACCGTCATCAGCCTCTCCCACACGCCCGGCGCCTTTTTCTTCGTGCTGCCCGTAGCCTCAAACTTTTTCGAAATGAACGGGAAAAAAAACCGGAGGATCGCCATGCAGTTGAAAAAGGACATCCAGTACCACACCTGCTCAGATAGGACGAGGATCATGATTACAATCACGTTCAGATAGTACTGCACGCCTGGAGGGAGGAAGAGAATTGAGTTGAAAAAGGAATTGAGTTGAAAAGAAACTTCCAGTACCACACCTGCTCCCCCCGCAGCTGCACCATCATGCCGTTGGGGAGGCGGGAGAAGAGGCCGAGGCAGAGCAGGCGCGAGGTGAAGACGTAGGGGACGAGGAGGATGATGTAGAGGCGGGTGGTCTCGAAGACGGGCCCGGGCGGCATGATGCGGAGATCGAGGGCCAGGATGAGGACAGGTAGGACGAGGATCATGATGACAATCACGTTGAGATAGTACTGCACGCCTGGGGGAAGAAAGGAGGGGGGGGAAGGGGAGGAAGAATTCTCAGATCTATCCTGAAAGGGAGGCATAAAGGCATATCGGATCATGATGACGGGCATGCTGAGGTAGTACTGTAGGCAAGGGAGGGGCATTCAGGCATACAGGCACCATACTATAGGGAGGTAGTGCTGTAAGCTTTACGACTTACCAGCATACCAGTAGGAGATCCGGCGATACAGGCTGAACTTGGGAGCACGGAGCAGAAGCGGGTTACGGTGTAACAGGATCTGCAGGCTGCCTGTGGCCCACCGCTGGTGCTGCTTTATGTACCCTTCAAGGCTCCACGGGGCCAAGCCTGCTTGCAGGCGCTGTTGCCATCATTCACACAGGAAAGAGGGAAGAATCAAAGGAGGAGTGGGAAAAAGATCTCTGCTTGGGGTCTGCAGTGTGCACTCTGCAGGCTGCCTGTGTGTGGCCCATTCACGGTGCTGCTTGGTGTACCCCTCGAGACTCCAAGGGGGGAAGCCAGCCTGCAGGCGCTGTTGTGAGGAGCCAAAGAGAGTATTTGACGGGAAGGGCAGGAGTGGGAATGATGGGGTGTGTGGAGTGGACTGCCTGTGGCCCACCGCTGGTGCTGCTTTATGTACCCCTCCGGACTCCACGGCGCCAGACCTGCTTGCAGGCGCTGTTATAGCAAGAGGAGTGGGGAAGAACAGGGGGGAAGGGATGACAAAAGTACGCATGGGGTCTCTGTTTGAGTTGTGCTTCCTGCCTGTGGCCCATCGCTGGTACTGCTTTATGTACCCCTCCACGCTCCACCGCGCCAGACCTGCTTGCCGGCGCTGTAGTGAGAAAAAATACATGGAGAGAAGTGAAGGGAATGGAAGGTGTGGGAATGATGGGGGGTGTGTAGGCTGCCTGTGGTCCGTTCACCGCTGGTTCTGCTTCATGCACCCCTCCAGGCGCCAGGGGGCCAGACCTGCCTGCAGGCGCTGCCATGTGAACAGGCAGTGAGGAGGCTGAGTAGCCAGAGCAGGGGTGGGTGGGAATGGGAATGAGAAATGCGATTTGTTCCAAGTCTGCTGGTTGCCTGTGGCCCACCCACCGCTGGTGTGTCTTGATGTACCCCACTGTGAACCCGCCTATCCCAGCATGCCCCGTCCCGTGCATCCCAACGTCTGGTAGCAGTTTTTTTCCCGCCTCACCTGGTTGACATAGGCCGTCTTGTATTCCCTGGCATGCAGGGTCATGGCCCTGTCAAAACCCTCTGTGATCGACCCCACTTTGAACCCGCCGATCGGCTGGAGGCAGGAAGGAAGGACATACCCTCCTGTACCATGCCTTGCGTCCAAGACCCTAGAAGCATGCTCACCTGGTTGACATAGGCCGTCTTGTACCCCCTGGCATGCAGCGTCATGGCCGTGTCGAAGTGTTCTGTGAAACACTTCGTGGGGTCGACCCCACTGTGAAACACACGCACTGCATTCCAGTCACACGCAGCGTTCCTCTCACCCGTCTCTCAACCACCTCACGTGGTTGACATAGGCCGTCTTGTAACCCTTGGTATGCAGCGTCATTGCTGTGTCCTTCTCCTCTGTGATCGACCCCACTGTGAACCACACGCACCACATACCAGTCACACGGAGCATGCCTCTCAAACACCTCTTAACTGTCTCACCTGGTTCACATAGGCCGTCTTGTATCCCCTGGCATGCAGAGTCATTGCAGTGTCGAAATCTTCTGTGATCGACCCCACTGTGAACCCCCCAATCGCTTGCAGGTGGGCGGCGCGGAAAATGACTCCTGTTCCCACGCACTGCGCACTGTCCCGACCATCTCTGGAGAAGGTGGGAGGGGGAGAGAATGCAAGCCAGGGCTGATGGAGATTTAAGACGTCCCATCATAACCCCATCGCTTGCAGGTGGGCGGCGCGGAAAATGACTCCTGTTCCCACGCACTGCGCACTGTCGCGACCATCTCTGGAGAAAGGAGGAGCGGGGAGGGAGAATAGAACAGGTGAATGGCGGCATACAGAAAGGCACCTTGCAACCCAATCGCTTGCAGGTGGGCGGCGCAGAAAATGACTCCTGTTCCCACGCACTGCGCACTGTCGCGACCATTTCTGGAGGAGGGAGGAAGGGGGTAGGGAGAAAGGGGGGAATGGGGAATGGTAACAAGGAAAAGACGTCTCATGTCCTTGATTGCCTGCGAATCGGACGGGGGCAACAGGAAAGATTTCCCCCCCACGAAACAAGCAGATTACTGAACAAACGGCTGGTCACCCTTTTGTCACCCTTTTGTCACCCTTTTGAACACACCTGTAGGGCAGAAGCACGTCGTAGAAATCCTGCGAGGAGTCATTCAGCCGATCTCCCTTTACGATGTTATAGAACGACTGCGGGCACTGCACCAATGCAACATCCCCTTTCTGACACGCAACAGACACTCCTGCACGAATGACGCGACTCTCAAGTCAACTCTCACCTGTAGGGCAGAAGCACGTCGTAGAAATCCTGCGAAGAATCATTCAGAGGGTCCCCCTTGACGATGTTGAAGAAAGACTGCGGGCACTGCACAAACGCCACGTCCCCCTTCTCCTCCCCGACAGAGACTCAACACACGTACTCAACATACGGACTTAAAAACACACACCTGTAGGGCAGAAGCACGTCGTAGAAATCTTGCGAAGAGTCATTGAGAGGGTCCCCTTTTACGATGTTGTAAAACGACTGCGGGCACTGGACGAATGCCACATCCCCCTTCTCCTCCCCAACAATATGCGGCAGCAGCGCCGACAGAAAGAAGGGCGAGGGAATCATGTCTGCATCCAAAACAGCAACAAACTCCCCGCAGGCGAAGTGCAGCCCATAGTTGATGTTCCCTGCTTTGAAGTGGTGAGGCACGCCTTTCTTCTTCGGGCGACGGAGGTAGAACAGCCGCCGGCCCTGCTGCTGCTGAAGCACCATCAGCTGCTTCTGCCGCTGCAGCTGCCCCTGCTCGCTCTGATCCTGCCCCACCTCCACTCCTCCTACCTCCCCTCCTGCTGCTCCTCCTGCTCCTGCTGCTCCTCCCACACCTCCTCCGCTCCACCCTTCCATAGCCTCTGCTTCAACCCAGGCTTTAAGCTCGTCATCCCCCCCATCGTCCAGCACCCACACCGAGTACCTCTCGCCAGGGTAATTCTGATTCATAGCCCCTTTAACCGTGTCCTGGATCACATCTATCTTCTCGCTGCAGCAGCAGATGAGAATCGCGACCCGGGGAAACGGGCCCGAGGGGGGTAGACTCAGCGCCTTCCTCTCTTTCGCAGGCTTGGACAACTCAATAACGAGCATAAAGGAAGAGAGAAAGACGAGGATTTCAGTAGAGAGGAACAGCAGGCAGGCGGGACCGGCTTGGGTTATGTTCCGCCCGACCATGTAGCATTTCCAGGAGAGGTACCCGAGACCGGAGACCACGGTGAAAAGGGAGATGAAACGCATGAGAAGGAAGTGCGTGCGAGCAGACATGCGAAAGTTGCATATCCCGCCGTCTACCCCTGGGCAGAGCCCGCCCCCAGGGGCGGAAGAGGCGACAGAAGTTGGGGGAGGGGAGGCGGAGGAGGAGAAGGAGGGGGAGGAGGAAGGAGGAGGGGAGGCACCGGGTTTGCTACCCGTGGTGAGGGTGCTGAAGGTGGAATCGGAAGGGGAGGAAGACGGGGTGCTGCGGGGTTTGGAGCGGTGCTGGGAGGTTCCGTCGGGGGGGCCAGGGAGGATGGGAGAGAGAGGGGTGTACCAGAGAGTGGGGGAGGCGGGGGAGACGTTGGGGGCGAGAGGAGGTGAGGAGGGGAGAGTGGGGGAAGGGAGAGAGGTTGGTGGGACGGAAGGAGGAGCAGCAGGAGAGATGGCAGCGTTGTGAGCGATTGCAGCAGTGGGGTGGACGCTGGTGGCAGTAGCAGCAGTGGCAGCGGCAGTGGCAGCGGCGGCAGCAGCACCACCACCACGAGTGGTGGCACTACCACGAGCAGCTGAATCAGACTTAGCGCGATGATTCCTGGAGCTTCCACCACCACGAGCAGTAGTACCATTATCAGCAGCAGTGGCCCGCAGCCGCAGCAGCAGCGGCAGCAGCAGCAGCGGCGGCGGCGGCAGCAGCAGGAGCAAGTCCTGACCGAAGCTCCCACACCGTCCTCTGCGGCCTCGTTTGTTGTTGCTGCTGCTGCTGCTGTTGCTGCAGAGTACCATTTGCCGGTGGATCCAACCCCCCAGAGGCCACCTCCTCGTGGGTTGCAGCAACCCCTTCCTCCTCATAATCCTCAGGAATTGGGATTTCAGTTATTTCCACTGCCCGTCTGCTCCGGTGCTGCTCCCTCCTGCCGTGCCTCCTCCTGCTGCTGCTCCTGCCATTGCTGCTGTGGTTCCCACCGCTGCTGCCGCAGGTGGTTTCATTCCCGCGGCTGCTCCTGCTGTTCCCGCTGTTTCCGCTGCTGCCATTGCGCCAGTCACCCCTGCCGTTCCTGCACCGTACGATCGAACCAGCCGCATCACCAGAAGCATCTGAGCCGTTGGCACTGGAGCCACTATCAGAAGCATCATACTCAGCATCAAACTGCGAGCCATACGTGGCTGTATGCGCCTCCGCATCGTCACTCGGACTCATCTTCCCCTTCCCCTTCCCCAGTCCATCCGCGCCCATCCCCGCAGCGCCCCCTCCGCTCCCCATCCCCAGAGCGTTTCCTCCCTCTCCGCCCAACCCCACAGCGCCTCCCCTCCCGCCGCCCATCGCGACAGCCACCCGTCGCTCCTCCTCGCTCCCAATCATCTCAATCTCCTCGTCGAATTCCGGAATGGAATCCATACACTTGCAGCGCCTCTTCAGATGAGTTTCGAAGCGACTGCAGCAAGCAGGTCCAACTGCAGGCTGGCAGAGCGGTCCAGAGCGGTTCAGAGCGGTTCAGGGGACAAACGAGACCCGGCTTGAAGCGTCAAGGCTCAAATCGGACGCCAGGCCGAAGAGTTCGCGCCTAATGAACCGCCTCGGCGATCCGTCAGGCGCGCCACGAGCCAATCCGGCCAAATCGTCAGGATCTTTTCAACGTTCCGTCAACGCCTCGACGAACCCGTCAGGTGCGCCACTGCTCAACCTTCAACTCGCGTTTTTCGGTTCGGGTCCGACTGAATGTCAACGCTTCACTTCTCTCCTGATGCCGCTCCTCGTGTTGTTGTGCGCGACGGCGCTGCTGCCAGCGCTAGTGGCGAGACTGTCGGCGTCACTGGCGGCGGCGTTTGCCGCCGAAGGTGCTTCTGCAGCTGCTGCGGATGCGGCTGCGGATGCAGCTGCGGCTGCGGCTGCGGCTGCGGCTGCTCTCGACTAGTGAGGCCACGCAACTCGCAGCTAGATGAACCCGCACAAAATACAGACTGAGCCGGGGGTATTTGAGAAACCCCGGCGAGTGTGGCCGAACGGCGAAGGAGGGGCAGGAGGAGCAGCGACGCGGCGCTCCTCCTTCGCCCGGACACCACGGGGACCCTACCATAGGGCACTCTACACATGGTACGCGACGCTCCTGCTTCGCCCAGACACTCTGTGGTACGCGACCAGAGCGCTTCGCAAAACTGTTGACGGCGGTCGATCAATCGACGTCTCGAACACGTGGCATGGCTACCGGATTTGCTGGGACGACCCGAAAGTGCTGACAACGAGCGCCGGGATCGACGGTAGTTGCGCGGTGGGCGAGGATTGCTTTTGCATTCCAATTGACCAACGATCTTACCGGGCTCCATGTTGCTAGCACTACACGTCCCGACACGTGGATATTCTTTGCCGTGAGTGGACGGGTGTACGGTACAGAAACTACGGGTAATAGAGAAATAAAAAAAGCCTGTTCGAAGAGTGTGGCTTAGCAAGAGATTCCCTCTCGAGAGGCCAGAGATTGGAGGAGTCGAACGTGCAGGGCGATCGCTGCAAAAAGTTGATGGTTCTTGTGTGCTAGACGAGATAAGGAAAATGCGGTGCTGGAAAGAAAGAGCTCAACAAAAGTCCACCTCGGAGACAGCTAAGGAGAAGCAGTTGGGGCGAAGTATGGAGGAAAAGAGTGCATATAAGGAAAAGGAGAAGAAAAGAGCCGAGCCAAGCGCCTTGGGAGTTGGTAGGGAGGGATGCCGTGTCGCGGGGCTGTCAGACAAGCATTTCTCAAGGTCGAAAGAGACGGGAAAAGCTTGGATGTTGCGGCGCGTTCTTAGCGGGGATCCTGACTGTATCGCATTGGCTGACGCGCCGAACGTGAATTAATGCATGCAGCATAATATGAGATTCATACACTTCAACAAAGCTACATTCACGGTTTCTCCTGCAACCTTAGTAAGGGCGTGTCCCTTTTCTCAACTTGAGCAAAAAATCGGATAATTTATTCAGTTTTCCAGATTCCGCCGAATCAGAACTGCTAGAAGCAAAATTTGAGATAGGTCACAAATGAGTCAGATTGTGTTCGAATATTCAAACTTCCAACAGTGATACACCTCAAAATCGAATTTTTTATGTCGTACAGGCGATACCTGAAGAGGGGTGCTTGCGACTAACAGAAGCAAAAATATTCGCACAAAGGGGGAAATTTGCCCGAGGATGCCATTCCCGCCGAATCAGCATACCCGTCGGCGTGTCGTAGGATCGCAGACGTCGTTCAGCGCATCGCACAACCAAAATGTTCGAATTCGATGCTCAGTATCCCGTTTCCGCGGATTTCGAACACGTTGTAATTGTGTTGTGCACCACTTTGAAATTGAGTTTCCGCGAAGACATTTGTTACGAATAGTAATATTTGATATTACTGTGCACTCCTCACCGCAGCAAAGAGAAGCACGCAGTAGCGAGAACGAACGCGAAGCGTCAGACGGTTGGAATTGACTCGAAGCGTCAGACAGTTGGGACGCATCTGGACCGTCGGAGCAGACGGCATCGGGTAGCTGCAGGCAAAGTGGTATCGGCGGGAACAGTTACGAAACTGTACGCGCCGCACGGTTGGGGATGTATTTGAATAAGGGAATGTACCCCTTAGAGTACATGGCTAGTTAGGTCTTTTCGTATTCCATTGTACTCTTATTTATATCACCTTGTTTGCATGTTTTTATTATCTCAAGCATTTACATTCACTCTGCTATTGAGGTCAAGGGCCCACCAACTATAACACTGCGTGCGAACCTTCCTGGGTAGATCCCGGGCTACGATCAATCTCTGATCTCAGCATGGTATGAGAGCGGCTCAGGAATCCTTCGCACTGCCACTCCCGAAAATTGCGACATTCGGAAAGTGGCGTCCGGCACACGCTCACGAGTGAAGATGGCCGGAGGATCTGGTGGTCAGACTAATCTGACGGCTGAAGCGCAACCCAATCCGGCTGCGACAAGCGAGAACACGACGACAATCAACTCCGAAGTTCTCGCACAACTCCTTAAGTGACTCACCAGCTTGGAGCAAGGGCTCCAAACATTGCGGAATGGCGATGCGGGAACATCCTCGCAACCCTCTCAACCGGCCCCGACTGGCCAGAACGCCACCCCGCAAACTTTCTCCCTCGACACCAATGGCTCAACCCCCAAGACTCCCCGTCCCAGTGAAGAGGCAATTCTCTCCGCTCAATCAAGGTTTCTCAGCATATCAAAAATAAAGACAAGTACCTGTTTTGACGGCAGAGACTTTTACACCTGGAGCTTCGAGCTGGAGCTCCTGCTTCAGAACGCCCAGATCTTCCACTATTTTGACGGGAGCTACGCGGAGCCTGCTGAGGACACCGACGACGCTAAGACACTGTATTACAACGAGTCGCTGATGGCGTACGGGGTGCTCCTGCGGAACATGTCGGCGGCGGAGCAGCTCAACATTCGTTCATACAAAACCACAGCTGCTCCAGCCCTTAACGCCTGGCGGCACCTGACAGGAGTCTACCAGCCCAAGGACTCTGTCTCTTCGAGCCGACTACTCCAGGAACTCCTGGAGACCAAAATGACCTCAGGGGAGAAGGTCAACACTTACCTTAATCGTTGCCGGAGCCTTCGCGATCAAATCGTGAAGTTGGGAAGCACGATTTCAGAAGAAATCTTCGTCAACATCGTGCTTCAAGGGCTCGGCCCAGAGTGGCGGCCCTGCAAGGCGCTTCTCCGACAACAAGGGGTCATCTCGGAGGCCGCCCTTTGCGCCGCCCTTCTCGTCGAACAGAGGGATATGGATCAGCAGCGACCTGCGCCGCGACGAGAACGCGAAAGGCTCGCCTTCTACGCCGACAACACTGAAGAGCGAAAGCCACGGGGCCTCTACAACAAAATCTGCAGAAATTTCGGGCATCTGGCGGATCGATGCAAGA